TTTAATTAATTAATGATAAAAGCAAAAATGAAAACTTCTCTAAAGTTACATTTTTGCTTAGAGCAAGTTTATTACATAATTTTTTGATTTTTTGTTTGAAAAGGATTTTATATTACATATTTATTACGTTTTATTATTTTGTTTTATTATAGAAAATGTGAAGTGGAAATTAATATTTTGTATATTATATTAATTAATAAATATATTTATACTTTTTATATATTATACTTAAAATATATTTTTAATGTAATATTATCGTACAATATATATTTCCTTATTGAATTAATAATCTAACGAAATATCGCAATTTTGGTTAAAAAGTGATATCTATTATATATAATATAATAGTTAGCAGTAACAAATTGCAAAGATTTATGTAAAAAAATGTTATCAAAAAGCTCATGTTTTATTCATTCGCCTCTTGTGTTTTCTAAGTCACATATGAATACATTTGATTTATTAAACTTCCAGATTTTTAAGACAATATACTCGTTATTATAAATATTATTAAAAAATAAACATAAGATGTATCTGCTATATTACTAATAAACATATACTTCTTTGTGAAGAGTAAAGATCCAGACTGTAGCAGCAAAGGGAGAATCGGAGCCGGAGAGAAGAGAAATGCGTAATAAAGTCGATGAAGACCGGAAGCATGAAATCGAAGCAGCTATTGTGCGTATCATGAAAGCTCGAAAGCGTATGCCGGTGAGTATAATTAATTTTTTACATATTAGATATTATTAAGTTTGTTAAGGATTGTTAAACTATATGTATATGTGTGCGTGTATATATATATATCTGTTTTTATTTTAGCATAACATACTCGTAACTGAAGTGACGGAGCAATTAAAAGGTCGTTTCTTGCCTTCTCCAGTTATCATTAAAAAGCGTATCGAAGGTTTAATTGAACGAGAGTACTTAGCTCGTACGACGGAGGATAGGTATGTTCACAAAATATATAGAATAATTTATTTATTTAATATAAATTCTCTTTTATTTATAGGAAAGTATATACGTACGTTGCTTAATGCTGAGTTCAAATATTGGAACTGTACAAAAGTGTAAGTAATTTGTAATAATGTATACCATCTAATTATATCATCGATTCATTATACTTTACACAAATTAATTTCCATTATTATTGATATATCAATACTTTCATCATCTTCACCATCATCTATAATGTGTAAGAATCATTATCATCACCACTATTGCTTTCTCCATGTAATAGTTATATACTTGGCATTCTGTATCAACAAGGAACATTTTTCTCTAGTAGAGGGTTTGTCTATTTGGATTAGTAAAACGAATTTGTGAATTAATTTCTCTGTAGTATCAACTGCCATTTTATATTTTAGGTTGAAAAGATGTACTTACGGCATTGTAAATGGTAATTCTGCCGATTTCATTTTCTTTTATAATAAAATTATAATTGGACTTCTATAAATAAATTTCTATTAATTTCGTGTTTTTTTATTTTTTTTATTTCTTTTTTTTTTTTTTTTTTTTTTTTTTTTTATACTTTATTTTCTATACAAAAACATATAACGTGCGATGCAAATAGTTGTAAATAAACTAAAAGAAAATATACAGATACAAATTTATAAAAAGGAAGAAAAAAAAATAGAATAAAGTTTGTAATACCGTTTGTTTATGAATGTCACAACCTATGATGACTCAATAACACACGGTATTATCGTATTATAAACTTAAGAATTAATATTAATTATATGAAGGATGTATGTGGGAAACATATTAAACCTAGAATTTAAAGTAGAATTTGAGTACAGCATGATTCATTTAAAATAACGTCGAACATATTGTGAAAGTCATTGTGTTGATGAAAGACGTTTCTCGTTGGTTAATGAATGCCTAAAATATCAAAATATTAAAATAGATCATTAAAAAATTGATTAGTTTGGTGGGAAAAATCGATGCACATTGAAAGCACCATTTGTAATATATCGAATTTCGCACAGATGCTATTTGCTTTTTCTAGATATTATTTATTTTAGTTGGAACATATAAAGAAATGTGATGACATTCATTAGTTCACTGCTAATTCCATTTTGATGAATAAACAATGTAAAATTGATATAAGAATCACGATACTTTATTATTTTATTATAGTATGTGTAATTCTTATTCTTGATTATTGTAGTTATTTAAAAATAACAAGCAAACAAATTTACTTTACTTATATTATTTTATTTAAAAACAAATGTGTTATTGAAAAAGAATGTATTCTGTATTACATACTGAATATCAATATATTATCAAAAGACGCGATCTGTGATTAAAGAAACTCGCATTGAGATGATATAATTAAAACAATATCAGAATTAGCGGAGCAATGTAATAAACCTTTGATTTAAAATTGTCTGATTATATTTTGTTACATTCCACTTTTTATAGTTGATAAGAGAATTTCTTAGGAATTAAAGAAAAAGAATGAAACATAATCTACATACAGTAATTTTGTTCTCGTTTCGTTAATTCTTTTGAGTCTGAATTCTCCAATATATGTAAATTTAATCTGCTATAAAAAGAATGTAACACGGCAGACGCAACCCAAACGCTACATATTCGAAGACATTATTAAATCTAAGACTGTTGCGAATTATTAAAGAAAAAGAAGAAAAAGAATGACCACATTTATGTCACTCTCAATGATTCTAAATCTTTTTTCTTTCAAAATCTATTTACATTATAAACTAAAAATATGTAATAAGTATATTTGCATGCAATTTGTCAAAACATGTATTTTGAAATTTAGATATTCATATCTTACTACAAAATAAAAATGCCAATATTCTTTTACAACAAATAAATGCCAATATAATATCAAAACGCATGTAGTTATGGATGTGGAAAAAAATGAAAACGGACTGTAGAAATAAATGACTTGAAATTATAATAAGTTAACGTTGAAGTTAATAATATCCATCTATTCGTTCGTGTGCTTTTAAACACTACTGTTTGTTAGTCCCCATACATGGTTTATATATAAGATAATCAATACGCCAAACTACGTCACGCGGTTATTCAAGTTTGAACGAAGTATCTTATTGTAAAGTGTACATGTGCGTATATCTAAGCGTCAAAGCTTTTAAGATAAATGAATATGAAAAAATAAAAAAGTAAATACGTCTCGTAATTTCTATTGTGCTTTCATGTGTATCAAATTATTGAACAATAATTTATGATATATTGTTCCAGTTCCATAAATTAATTAACGTCGTTAATCTTTTCCACCTAGCTTATCGATTGAATGGTTTAATTACTCATCGACTTCGGTACATTACAACGTGTTTATTGTAGTACGCCAAAATGTGGGATCTTCGAAACTGTAAGACATGCAGAGTTGTTAAGTGGGCTAATATACATGCATGAGCTTGAATAAAAATGAAGAACATTAAAAAGAAAAGAAAAGTAAAAAAAAAAACAACAGAACACTCAACGATGTTACCCCAGCTCATGTATTATAGAAAAAAAGGAAACAAATCTGCAAATGTCATATTTTTTATTTTCATTTATACCTTCTTTATTTATTACGATAGAATTTTAATATGTCAATAAAATTTTTTCTCTTTCTTACATAAAAAAGAAAACTTAATAAAAATAAAAATCTTTACAAAGATTTTTTGTCTTCATAATATAATATATTTACCTAGCTCAGTTTTTGTATAAATTTAAATAAAAACGCATCTGTGAAAATTAAAGTTAAAAAATAGAGATGATTGACATACCTGTAAATTAAAGATTAATCCCTTATAGCCTATTAATAATATTCATATTATTTCATTTGGATTTTAATCGAGACTATATTATTCAATGTCAGAAATGTTCAGTATTTGTAATGATAATAGATCTAATTCTTCCAGTTATTGTAAAAAATACGAAGAAAAAAATGAAAGACCAACGAGTTGTTCATACTGTATAACGCTACATATAGACATATTACAAAATCTTCATATCATTTGTTAAAGTCATAATGAACTATGAATATACGTAATCTAACTTCGTAAATAAATAATTAATCGAGAAAATTCATTTTATTTATTCTTGAAATAATTTCTATGATATAACGCGATCGTATAAATATTTATATTGAAAACAAAAAATCTTACAAAGCACTACACATTTTTATAACTTTATGATCGAATAATAATATTAATCTTTATTAATCTGTTTTTATCAGAAATTCCAGAAATAAATTTAAATAAATCAGAGTTTCTATCGATGAGAACGATATAGTGTCGCTAATGTAAATATACAATTTTATTTTCATATATAGCTTCGATATTACTTATTTTATGGAAAAAAAATGTTTAGTAGCACCTTATTTTTATCTTCAATAGAAAAAGTGTCTGTGTGTATATTGTTATCTCAAACTATAATTCTTATTTAAAAAATACACATTTTACGGAAGTTTAATATTCTTATTATTCTTGTGTATTTATATATTTTCTTCAAGTTCATTACGATTTAAATAATATAAAGAAGTATATATATTTTTTACGTTATGTCATATTGTAATATTAAATACCATCTTGTACATCTACATAGGTTTCTTTGTAAACTCTACTGTAAAAGTAGATTTTTTGGAAAGCATTTATAAATCACAAGAAATATATAGAAATAGTTTGCAATCTTCTTAAATAGAAGTGAATTAAAGTTAAGAAAAATTATCATTATCCATTATTAAGAGAATGTATGAGTTTATAATATTGTCATTTCCATTATGTGCTGGATATAACAGTGCAAAGGTAAAGTTAGAGAAATCATAAAAATTATGGCAATTAATATAAATATGGTTCGTACGTTAATGACGAGTATCTACAATAGACATCAATTTTCTAAAACAATTCTTTAAGACAGTGTTTCTCAAACTTTTTGTTCTATGTATCTTCGGACATGTATATGTAACTGGTGTACCTCTTGTATAGATAGATACAACTATAATATAAAAATGGGAATAAAATAAAACATACATATATACACACATCAAATTTTGTATTCATAAACTACATACAGGGTCTTAGAAGGTTTGATCTATACTTTAGGACTTCAGGAGTGTATCGAAATTTTCTTTTTAGTTTTGTTTGAGCTTTTACGGGGTACCTAAAAAGTTTTTTACTACTTATCCCCAAGGGATACACGTACCACATTTGAGAAACACTGTTCTAGGTAATAGCATTGAATATTTGTGAACAATTATGTTATTTAAATCTGTCTTCTACAAGCTTATAAATGAATAAAGTAGATTATACTATTCAAAATGCTATATATATAATTATGGAAATAAATAGGAACATAAATTACATAAACAATCAATCTTAAGAGTGAGGAAAACGTATTATTTTCCTCTTTTTATAATTCATTTAAGTTTGTTAATATTTAATATTTAATTAAAATATTTTTTTTTAATTGCCATAAATCTTCAATATATAGACCTCATTCCAATACATGCTATAAAAATTCGCAAAATGTAATATATGATGGTTCTGTGTTCAAAATTCTTTGAAATTAGTTTGTGTGCAATTATGATGACAATCTACCCAAACTTAAGAATTAAAATACATTATAAGACTTGTTTACAATATCATACAGTTATTTTATTATAATTTACTTTGCTCTGAAAAGTTCTTTCCACCTTATTAAACATTACAATTTGCATATATTCTTATCCTCGTTATCAACCAATACTGTACACGGGGCATTCTCGATTCCACATATGACAGACCGGCATAAATCGACTCGCAATGAATTAACTGAGGTGGCAGGCATCGTGGTGAGAAAGGCCTACCATTTGGGATTATTCGTTCGAGGAGGATGATTCTCGCCTTTTTTCTGCATGCTTTTTTGTAAAATCTTCTGCATTTTTTAGAAATTTCTTTTTATCTTTAAGAAATTCTTCAGCTAGATCTGCCCTTAATGGATGTTCTGGCTCAGGATCATTTACTAAAGCTATCAGAGCTTGTATAACTGTAAAACATTTACAGAAAGTTGTAAGTACTGTTTCCTTTCAATTCATTTATTTATATATTTCATTTGCTTTATAGTAGAAAAAACATATATATATATATATATATATATATACTTTAGAATATTTCTAATAATATATATACATATTATCAAAAACATTTGTAAATTTGGTTTCAAAAAATTGATTGATAATTTATTCTTCCTTGTGATTATTTCTTCTTTAAACAATAATCTTACCCTGATCTGTTTTCGTTGCTGGTTTCCAATGTTCAGCACTTATAATAGGTAGACATACTTGTCCTTTTTCATCTACATTTGGATGATAGATTTTTGTTTTGAAATTTATTCTAGGTGGTTTAAAAGGATATTCTGCAGGAAAATTGATTTCAATTCGAAATGCTCCTTTATTATAAGGAGCATTGTCCTATAAATATAACATATAATTATTATATGTTTATAAAATATACATATAGAAATAGAAATATAAGTATGAAATTATTTATGTTTCTATTTTTTAATATATATATAAAATAGATTAGACTCTTTTTCAATAATTGGTAATTGTCATGGATAATTTAAAACGATAAATTTATTATAATAACATCATAACAATATACTTCTGAAACAATAATAAAAATCAGTATAAAATGATTTTAAATAAACTTTAATACGTTTGTATGTTTAATTTAGGTTAGGTGCATAAAAAAAAGTATAAACATACCGGCAATATAAGGCCTTGCCAAGTAAGAATATTGGACTCGTCGACTTGAATCGTAAAATTTTTCATTGCGGAGGCTCTCAGATCGCCTAGTTCCTGGAAAGATAAGTGCATATATTATTATCTTATGATATAGATCTTTTTTTTATACGTTTAATATTAAATTTTAGCTTAAGAAAATAACAAGTTATATACTCTATTTCATAGAGGGAGGGGATCGTAAATTATAAAATATAATAATATTAGTGTATATAAAATGGAATAATATAATAACAATGTTATTAACTTTTTGAACGGCGTCGAACAACTCAGGGCTACAAGGGAAGAATATCAAATATATCACATCATTTCCGTAACACTTGTAGAAATTGTGAATTGCTATGAAATGTATCTACTTTTCTTTACAATCAAATATAAAGAATGATGCTTATATCGTTAGGAACTTTAATTTACCTTTTGCAATCTTTTTATAGCTGCCATTTTGAAAATAGAGTCTTCTGAAGGCAGTAAAATTCGTCCAGTTCACCAGTGACCAGTGCTGCCAATTGTTAGAACTTTATTCATTAAACGGAAATTGCAGGTTTACATTGAAAAAGTGTTTGCATTAAATTCGAATATTTTTAATATATTTTTTATTATCCAATCACTGATCGCATTGAATAATCTCATATTTCTTTATCTAGATCTCATATATCGATATTTGCCTTTATTTATATAACAATGAAGCACTATCGTTTTGCGCGCTTAAATATGACTTCTTTTTTAAGATGATGTATAAATCGAAGGCAAATATTCAAGATTTATCCGCGAAGATTTTTAAGTGAATAAAAAAGAAAAAAGCCTATTATAAATTATTGTAACATTAATAATCATTAATATATAATATTTATATAATATATATATAAAACTATATAACCTTACCAACAGTTCACTTTAAAACCAAATTGAATTAACGTTCAAATTTTTGTTGAAATCATGGCTGCCAGTTAAATGTGCGGCAATTTTCGTTCACGTTATTATACCGGCATTTCAATATCTTTAAAAACGTTAATATTGTGTTAAAATTATATGTGGTGTTATTTAAAATTAAGTTTTAGTTTATAAATTGATTTATATAAATTGCCAAGATGTCAGAAGGTAATTATTTATTTGTGGATTGTGTAAGAAAATATATAAAAAAACATAACCTTTAAATTATATGATACATTTTATTTAATAATAGTTTAATAATAAGACTGTAATGTAATTTAAAAATTTAAAATAATTTTGTTTTTATATCAAATTAGTGTAATATGAGTCACATAAGTAAGTTTATTTGATAATTAAATTATATATATATATAATTTGGATATCCGTATTCAACAATTGATAATAAATTACTTTATAGAAGAAACAAGTACAGAAGATATCTGGACACCATATAAGGAGTTACAAAATCTTGTAGTACGATGCATCACATTAGCACCTAGTATGCATGACCCTCAATACCATGAATTTATAGAAGCATTGAGAAATCATAGACAAAATTTTTTTACACTTTTAAAAAATCCTGTGAGTATCTTTTTATATATTTTTTCATTCATTTTTTATTTATTTAGTATTATTACAATGTACTTATATTTTTTTAAATATTGATTATTATAAAAAATATATACACATAAAAAAGTTTTTCTTCTAAATATAAGACATAATATTTTTTATGTCATTTTACAATGCATCAAAAGAAGTGAACATTTCATGTAAATTACTTAACTGATTTGTTCTTTGTTTATCAGCCAAAAAATATTAATAGTCGCAATGAAATTAAGAAAGGTGTGACAGATGGTATAACATTACCTGGGCTAGGACATCAAGTATTGTCCAAGGAGTTGGTAGATGAAACTTTAATCATATCAGATATGTATGATTTAAATGAATTCATGGCTCTAGATCTTTTATGTACTGCCCAACTTCAAATGCCACACTATCCTGGTCTAACCAGAGGTTTAACTGCTGTACTTTTGTATTATGATGGAAGAAAAGCATTAACTACAACTTTGAAGACCTTAGTGCAAGCCAGAATGGGACATAGCTGGGCTCTTGATGCACCATTAACTCTAACGAAATACATTACTGAATATACTAATAAATTACAAGAAGATGGTTTATTGGATAGGATTATAACTTTATTAGAAGACATGGATCCTATACAGGTCAGATAAAAGAATAATATTCTAAATATAGTTACTGTTTATTATCAATTCATTTAAATTATTATAAATTGTGATATACATTATAATAGAGTATAATAAAGTATAGTGGAATTTGAATCATGATAACAGGAACAAGATCTTCTACAACAAAATAGAGCATTGGGAGGAGCAAAGCATCATCGTATGGTTATGAAACTTTATAATGATACTAGACAAGATTTAGCAGATATTTTGTATTTATGGTCTGCTCAATCATCTCTACCAAAATCTATTTTCTTTCGTTTATTGTCGTTATTACAAACACGCCAAGTTGAATCTGAAGCTGGAGAAGGTGGTCCTGATAAAGTTACATTGGCTCTCATTATGGCCATACTATATGCTGTAAATCTTAGTCCACTTAATAATCGAGAAAATGGTGAAGGTATTAAAATTAATAATTTTTTAATATTATTAATTTTTTAATTTGTTTTTAATTTGTTTGATATGAATTTTTCTTAAATACTACTATATTAAAATTTTATTTCAGATATAATTAATTCTATTCCCTTGATCACAGAGAGAGGAGCATTAGATGATATAAAACAAAAAATAATGTCTAATAATATAACTTGGGAAAGTACAGGATTGCGTGGACTTGTACAATTTGCTTTAGCAGTTGCCATAGCAACTTTGAAAACTATCAGTAACACTTATCAACCACAGCATATTACAAATGACGATGAAATTTTAGTGGAAACAGCTTTATCTAATAAGGTGTTCCACTTTATGGCCGAAATTTTATTAAAAAGTACTTGTATACACTATGAGGAATTTTATATGCGTTATTTTCACACTCTTCTCTCTGATTTTATATTATTAATGCCTCTGAAAATTAAGGAATTAAGAAGTCGAGCAGATGAATCAATGCGTTTGGTACAAGCGTATCAACAAGAAGGTGTAGAACCACCAATGAATTTAGACAATCATTTTGAGTTTCTTATGTTGACAGTAGCGGAGTTATACAAAAAAGATCCGTTAAAGTTAAACTTAGCTATGGATTATTGGTGCCAACATTCAGAATCTACGCACGTTTCTGCTTCTGTACATATTGGACGGTTACCTCCTAGACAAGTTGCTTTATTTAAATTTATACGATTAGCTGGAGAAATACTTCCTGCTGGTCTTTTTGTATCCTACCTCAAAATGATCGCATCTCTTGCTTCGTCACCTCCAGCTGCGCGCCAAGCATTTAATTTTCTCAAACCAAATGGTAAGGTATATTTTTTAGTTATTCTTATCCTATACGAAACGATAAAAACAGGTTTTTTTTATATTTCAATAGGATCTTCTACTTCAACAACAATTTCTTGGGATCATTTCTTTAATTCTTTAAATCGCTATTATTATAACTTACGACAAGAATTACCACCAAGTCAAGATACAGTATATAGACAAAGAAGTCACCCAAAAGGTATTACACCCCACGAAGTTAAAGGATTAGAAGCTGTACTTAAAGTCGTACAAATAATTGCAAAATATGATGAGATGTCGAGAGTAGCAATATGCGATCATCCAAATTGGAAAGTACTTCAGTCTCTAATAGGGTTGGTAAGCTGTGCAATGCCAATTCCATTAAAAGGCGTTTTAGTAAGAACTCTTGCTGCATTAGCAAGATCACCAGAGAGTTCTTCTACAGTTTGGCAAAGTTTAGAAGCAGCACAAATTCTTTCTACTATACCAACAACTAGTAGCTATCAACCACGAGGAGTACAAACAGAATTGGAAGAAATTGAATCAAGGAACGAAGAATATCCCTTGACTCGAGCAATGTTAAAACTCTTAGATATCTTAACGGATTATCCAATTCCACGTCTTTTGGGAGTTGGGCAACGAAATCCAGGCTTCGATTCATATCTACATTTTCTAATTAATATCGTTTTTTTAAGATTTCATACACGCTCGTATAAAAATGCTGCAGAGAAATGGAAAGTTGCGAATGGATGTTTGAAAATATTCTCTAAATTAATCAAACAATACGAGCCATCTTTAGAAGATTTTATGGGATGTAAAGTTGAATTACAAGGTGGTGATTTGACTGTAATTAATTCCGCTCCTGGATACCATTTAATGACGCAATTACATTCTACTAATTCCGAGTTACTTCATGTCATACTCTATATACTGGATGAAGGATATCACCAGTTTGATACATACGATATTTTTCCCGGAAAAAAATATCTTGAATGTAGTACATTATGTTGTTTGGAAATATTGGATCGGACTTTGAAAACACAACATCAATACATGACACAGTTAGCATCAGCAACCAGTATAAATAAAATCGTAACTGGTCTTTCGCGTTTATTGCTAGGAGTAAATATGCGTACTGGGAAGCCTGATCACATGATAAATATTGTTAATTATGTCTCTTATAATTCATGGCTGCCACGACATTCATTTGTCGCTGTTGGCGTTGTTCAAAGTGTTGCCAATGAACCAGGTGCAGATTTAGAATTGTTATCAACATTTACAGCAACTAATTCGTTGGCAACGAATATTAGGCACGGTTTTGTTGAGTGTTTAGATATGGATTATACTCCTGTAGATGAAGATGACATAAACAATGATGAAAGAGCGGATGTGGAAAATTGCAAAGAAAGAATTTTATTATTAATGATGCAGAGTATTACACGACCTGTACCTAATCTTGCTCATTATTTGCTAGGATTTGAGATTACTAAGGATATTCGAAAAACAATTATTCAGCAACCTGGAATTTTAGGCTTTCCACGAACTTGCTTGCATTCTGTTTTGGGTGTCTTAGAACAATCCTTGGATAATGGTCGTGATAAAATTACTGAAATGTGTTATTGTTATTTACATACATTAGCGGCGAATAATAAGACATCAGTACCAATTTTAAGATTTTTACGAACTGCAACAAATCAAGATTTTGTGCAAAGACACCTATCAAAATTACCTTTCCAAGGTTCAAATAAAGCAATCGAACTTGGCTGTATGTCGTGGCTATTAAAAATAGTAGCGATAGAACTACGAGTCTCTGGTGGAAGCTTACAAAGTTCGCTTGTACAACGCTTAGTTGGAAGCTTTAGTCAAGAAAAAGACCAAAGTGCACCATCACAGAAACTTCTTATGGATCTTCTACATTATATCGATTTTCAACTATACTTAGAACCTCCTAAGTCATGGGAATTCTTTGATCCTTCGCAAATTGAAATGGTATTTGGTCGTTGTAGTGTTCCCTCGTCTTTAATGGGAGGACCTCGACTTATCGACGTCAGAAAATTACATTCCCTTATTGTAGATGAATTAACGGTTACACAAAATAGTGCAACAGTAACTCAAAGGAAACTTATGCAACAAGAATTGCAATCGATACTTGCTCATGCCTTGAAAAAAAATCAAACCAAGCTTTTATCATACGCTACGGTAAAATTTGTAGAGGGCTGGTGTCAAACAACAGAAATACTATTTTCCGTAGCGTCAAATTTACAACTTCCTGCGGCTCAAAGACAAAGTCTTCTTCTGAACTTATCACATGATTTGTTGCAAAAAATGACATCGTGCGAAGCACTCAGTGAGATAAAAACACTTGTGTCTGGAACAGTTTTGATATTACTTGTCAACTTGCGAAATTATTTTGCGATGCAATCGAACCAAGAATTACTTCCAACATCTCCTTCCAATACGACAATGATGAAAATAATTCTTAGCCATGTACTAGAATGGATTTTAAGCGCAAGTGCATCATCGCAAAAAGTTCTAACTCATCTTTACGCAGCACTTCTAAACTTTCTTTGTGTGATAGGCTTAGAAAAATCAGAAAGTGCATCCGTTATGGATACGACGTATGTTAGTCAACTAGACAGTTCATTCAATCGATCTATGCCAGTTCAAAAACGTTCACATTGTTATGCCACGATACAAGTTATCAATAGCTTTGGTAATCAATTAATGGACGTTTTATGTCATAATTGTTCTGGTGGTCATGATGTATGTAAAATGTTAGCACTTTCTTGTCTAGACAAGATCTTAGAATTGGATTACGATAATTCGTGGATGATTTATTTAGCTAGTCGAGGATATTTGAAGCATATGATAGACAGTCTTTTACAATCTGATAATTTACTAAGACATATGCTTCAACCAGAGCCTGAAACATTAAGACCTTTATATTTGTATGAAGCAAAATTAGCAACATTTTGTAGAATGGCCTCGACAAGATTAGGTGCTGAAAGTCTTCTAAAAACTAAAGTTTTATCCTGTATGTCAAGTATGTGTGTTTTTGATCAACATCCAGATGTTCATATGAATGTTGAAGGAATTGATTCTTCTTTTGTACCCTCAATCGGCCAACGTTATCAACAAATTTTTTTGCCTACTTTATACTTATGTGGTGCTTTGTTGACTACTTTAGGAACTGAAAATCAGTCTTGTGCTATACAAGTTTGTAGCTTTCTCCAAAGTCATCGAGATACAGTAGAAATGATATTAAGGAATGCTTTTTCAAAGGCAAATACTCTATTTTTGAAAGAAATTGCCTGTCTAACTGGTGTCGTATCCAGATCTGCTAATATTGGTAAATAATGTATAGTAATATTTCATTCATGAAAATATTACTATAGCTTCACATTTAATTATACTTGTTAAACTTACTTTTAGATATGTATAAATTAGTGGACGAGGGAGTAATAATATCCGATGTTGGTGATAATATAATAGAGGATGATAATGGAATGAGAGAATTACGTGCTCATCTTTATAGATTACAAAAATTAATGCTTTCGTTACTTCACAAATTCCAATTACAACCAACACCTATACATTTAGATTATCAAAAAACAAATGTAGATCAACAACAAATGTCTTGTATAGAAATAGTTGCGAATGTTCTTTTGTATGCTCGTAATCAGGTTTGTACAAAATTATGAAGCACTTTTTGAACAATTTGCTTATAAGGAACAATTCATATAATAAAAACATTAATGACAATATTAAACAATTTATTTATGACAGATGCAGCATAGTACCATGGACCAAAAAGTAAGGAATGTTCTTTTCGAACCTTATTTAACGCCGAAACCAGGCACTAGAGAAGGAAGAACTAAAGATATATCTGGTGAAGTTCATTTAGGATTGATCGTTGAACAACTTACGTCTACAACTGCATTACTACATAATGAACTGCCACATGTCGATTCTCTGATCAAAAAATCAGCTATGATATCGGACATGACTGCGGCAGAATTAAAAAAAGTACTTAAATTAAAAGTCAATATTATATCGAGAGATAAAAAGATCGTAAAAACGTCAGTTTGTAATAATTGTACATATTATTTTTTTAGTATATGTCTGATGAAGAAGCAGAATTAGACATAGATAAACAACGCATTGTCCTAGAGCAACGATTAAATCAACGACTGAAGGAAAAACGTCAAAGTATAAAATATTGTTGTCTCATAATAGAACACAGTTTATATCTACTTTGGAGTCATTTGGATTTCTACACAATGCAAATAATGTCAGGACATCAGAGAATGCTAGGTATATATGATTCGTTATTTTATAAATCAATTAATGGATATGTAACAATGCAAATTAATGCTATGTGATCTATGTATTTCTTTACAGTATCCACAGGAAACATAATTGATAATATATTGGAAAAAAAGATATCACCAGAAATTTTAACCGAATTAAAACAAGGACTTATATCTGTATTTACTGATAGTTTCATTACTCAATTAATCGATACACATAACGAATATACAACAGTAGATCGTAATTTTATAGAGGCTCTCGTTAGGAGGATCAAAAGATTATTACAATTCATAATTATAACGTAACTCTATTTATAGAATATGTGTATATTATTTCTATTTTAAATACGCATCTCTTTCTATACTGTTTCAACCTTTGTACTTTTTATTAATAATCATATTATTGTATATAAAATGTAATAATAATATTTTTATAATAAAAATACAAACAGTATAGATATGAAAATTTATTAAAATAATATAATCAATTATATATTATATTTAATACAATTTCTAGACATTTTTTATAATTTGACTTTGGATGTAATAATATATAGTATATATACAGTACAGTCATTTATTATTGATAAATTATACATTCATCACAACAAATTCAATCTTTGTTACTAATATCAAAGCTTTTTATATTAAAATAAACTATATTTGCATAAATCACTACAATACTTATGATAGCTATAAAAATCGATATCGAAAGGTATTTGTATATTTTTCTATTTTCCACTTTTGAATTCGACAATTTGTTTTTTAATTTATCTTTTACTTTTCGTCGTGGCTTAAATTTCCTTTGAAATTTTTCTATTTCTTCCTGATTACGTAATTCTTCTTCACGTTGACGTTGTATTTCTTTAATTTTGTTGGCCTCATTTTTTTTATATATAAGTGATTGACAAACACTGTCACATTCAACTACGATTTGCTTTTCTTGTATAACAGAACAAACATATTCCTTTCTAATGCGTTTGCATTTACACCATAGTTTTACTTTCTTGTTACATATATTCTGCTTTTTACATGATCCAGGATGACAAATATCGTTGCACCGATGGCCACATGGATACTGCAAAAGAAATTTGTAATATAGTTAAACTTGTTATTATTTTTATAGAAACTGTTTATTATAATTACATTTTTTGGACATTGATTTCCACACTTTAATAACTCTTCACGTTGCTCTATTGTTGCGGATGTTAGATCTATGCAACGTCTATATAAAGTACTAATGCCACAATGGCAAGAAACACGTACTAATTGTTGGCATGAATCACATGATCCGGGATGACAAGATTTTAAACATTTATGAAAACATCCATTAGGCCGTGCAAATGAGCATGGTCTTTCACATTGCATACATTGTGTATTACCAATGATTCCTTCAGATGATTTTACAGTATGACATATTAATTCACAAGTGTGATTTGTACATTGTAGTAATTGACCACAAGATCTTCCGCAAGAATCAGCTTTAGCAATGTAGCAAGGCAATATACGTGTTTCGTGTCCACCTAAACATTCTATTTCAACAGGAACTTCGCAAGGTGGACACGGTAATGTTTTTAATTCCAATGTATCTTTTTGTTTTTCCCATGGGCCTTTGGGTTGTCCTTGTGTACTATTTGAGTTTATTTTGACCCAAACCTTACTATGGCAAACAGCTAAACAGTTGTGCCCACATTTTTTATGAATTAAATCACATATTTTCTTACATGGTGGGCAAGGTCCTTGATGACATTTGTGAATCTCTCTCTCAGGATGGATACAAATAGAAGGTATTTTGCATGGTTTATTACAAGGAGGTGGTTTAATTTTTTTTTTTGTGCCACAAGGTACTGTTATTTTTTTACTACCACATCTGCACTGAATTATATCGGTACGAACACATGGATAGCAAGGTCCACTATGACAGGCTGCTGGACATTTATGCTTCTGACAATTAAGAAGATTGTTGCATACTTTTTCACATATATTAGAGGTATTTTTTATTAAACAATCGCAACATTTTTTATTGCATAAATGTCTTCCACAAAGTCTCATTTGCGTACATTTTTTATTACAATGAAATTCTTTTCCACAAGCTATTTCTTTTGTAAAATTCCCACACCTACATGATTTTATGATCATTTCCAAGCATTGGCCACATTGTTCTAAATGACATGTCATGTTGCAATAATGTAAACCACAATTCAATAACTTTCCACAAGTGTTTCCACATTTTGATACTTGCTGTTCCTTACATGAAACTGTGTACTGTTTCTTCCCACAAGGACAAGTTCTAAATTTCTTAGGACAATCTCCACAATCTTTAGTAGAATGACAAATACCTTCACAGGTATGCAATTTGCAAGATAATAGCTTATTACAAGGCTTGTCACAAATCCAAGTAGCTTCATTGCACTTTTTGATTTGTTTGCTACTTTTGCAACGACAATCCATTAGTAAAGTTTCTAAACATGGTGGACAATCTCCAGTGTGACAAATTTCCTTACAAGTATGCTTACATTGATCGTATTTTTTATTGCATATATTATTGCAACTCCAACCATTTGTATTACAACGCAATGGACGAGCAGGTTGCTTTCCACAATAACATTTAATTACCATTGTTTTTGCACAAGGAGGACATGGTCCAGGATGACATAACAATACACATTTATGCCCACATTTAGGTTCTAAAGGTTTTTCACAAGTTTCTCCACAAGAATGTGGAATAAACCATGTTTGATAAGATGGATTTTCAACTTTCTTACAGAAACATTTATATACTTTTGGAATTTGATCTTCTCCATATTCTGTCCTACATTTTGGACTAGAAATATGTATATCATTGTATTAAAATAAAATTAAAAATAAATAAATAAAAAGAAATATTTTTATATATATTAGTGTATATTAGTGATATTATATTAGTATATATCATATGACAGCTTACCAAGTCCAAGTTGGTACAATTCCTTGTTCATGCTTATGAGCTAGAGTATCTCGAATCCAATGTAGGATGCATGTTAAATGCATAAAAGAATAACATTTATTGCAGTTCCATATCTGTTGAAAATATATTAATATACATAAAAATATATATACATATATAAAAGTTATCAGAGAAATACTTACTGGATCTACTTTCTTTACTGTTGAAATACATATTAAACAGATAGCACCACCAGATTGAAAAATATTAATTAAATACGATATAATCTTTTCTGTATTTAATTGTCCACCTTCATAAGCTGATATAACTTCACCCAATGTTCTTTGTATATCTTCTTCACAAATATTGTCGTCATCTTCACTAGAGGAATCAAGAGAAGCATTTGCTTCCAAATGTCTTTTAATAGATATTTTATTTTCTACTTGAGCTTGCTTGAACTTTTCCATCTTTCTTGTTTATTATATTATTTAAGTAATATTTAATGTTAAAGACTGTAAATATTCTTTTTTGATATCTTTGTATATACCAAAAAAGTAAGAACAGTATTATATTAAAATATAGTATATACTACATTCCGTATACTATGTAATATTCTAAATTATTATCAACATTACTACCATTTTGTTTCTTTTTTTTGAAAAATACTAACAGTATTTGTATAAATAAATTTTTTTAACTCATATGATTAACTTTAGGTACATCAAGAATTTTTATACTACAAACATTTATATTATATTCTTTATAATAAAAATGAATTTCTCTTAATTTCTCTTATATCTTTTTCACTTTTTATTCAGCAAAATATTATTTTTCAGTTTTCATCAGATATGTCACTATTAATCAGTATACTAAATGTACGAAAAATCAACATAATCTACGTAATATTCAAGTTCAAAAGAAAAGAAAATTTCATGAAGTCAAAACTTGTCAAGATTGGTAAAAACACACATGATTAGGTATACTACATATTACTCGTTAGTCACAATAGAGTCACAACCAATCATGACTGGTATCTAGATAACTAGATGTAAAAAGAAAATAATTAGACTGAAAGTAACTGATTTTTAGATTTAACCATCAGACAAAAGTAACTTATATTAAACCGTAACTATTCTGTCACCATCGGCTTAATAAATATTGTCCATAATATACTTAATTCAGTAAGAAAAAAATTTGGTTATGAAGAGGCAGAAAATATGCGTTGGCTTGGCGACCCATATATATTTATGTCGACAATTAATCGAGTGTCATGTTCAATGTTTCTAACTTTACAAATATTAATGACAATATACATATTTAATGAACAGAAAAAGGTATGAAGAATCTTTTTTTCCTTGTATGATAAGGAAAATGATTCTACGTGCTTATTTCAGTGTATAGATATAAGTACGTGTTTACATACACGAACTACTACTATAATTTGATCTTACGTGGCAATGCTTATCACTGATAAATATTTCCATTTTAATTTCTTCGTGATTTTAAGTGCATAGATCAGGTACGTACATATTGTACGTATTATTTTGTTAATAAAATCATAGAGAGTTCGTGTGTTTATATATTTAAGATATAGTTTATAATATTTGAGACCTAACCAAATTAATATTTTGTATTAACTTTATTGTTGTAGCTGAGAATATTATCTTTGAATAAAGAGAATAAATAAATAATTTATTCGTGTGAATGTTAGTTAAAACTATAAAAATTATTAAATAGTGCATAAATGACATTTATTAAATTAAGTTGTAGTATACCAATCGGTTTAAAGTTTTTAACATTAAATTATGGCATATAATTTTGTAATAACATCTATTTTCATTTATAGGAAGATTGTTATCAAATCAACCTTACTCAAGTTGATATAATAAGGATAGTAGGAGAATACTGTATAAAGAACAATTGATATTAGTATTTTGTTTTGTATATATAGTAATGCATCAGAAAAAAAGGAAATTAGAAGTTATACGAGCCTTAATACTTGTTGGTGGATATGGAACCAGATTGCGTCCTCTTACTCTTAGTCGGCCTAAACCATTGGTTGAATTTGCCAACAAACCAATGCTTCTACATCAAATAGAAGCTTTAGTAAGTTTATTGTCATTTTTAATAATCTTATTACGGTTATGCTGTTGAAAAATAAAAACTATCAGTATTTATTTCTTTTCCTTTAGGTAGAAATGAATGTAACAGAAGTAATATTAGCAGTATCTTATAGAGCAGAGGATATGGAAAAGGATTTAGAAGAAGAAGTTAAGAAACTAGGAGTTACTTTGATATTTTCTCATGAACCAGAACCTTTGGGTACTGCTGGTCCACTTGCGCTAGCACGTGATATTTTATGTTCTGGAGACGAACCATTTTTTGTTTTAAATTCTGATATTATCTGTGACTTTCCATTTAAGCAGTTATATGAATATCATAAAAACCATGGTAAAGAAGGTACCATAGTTGTTACTAAAGTAGAAGAACCATCAAAATATGGTGTTGTTGTATTTGATAAATGTGGTAAAATAGAACGTTTTGTTGAAAAACCACAAGAATTCATCTCAAATAAAATAAATGCAGGTACAATGCAACATATAGTTATAAAATTATTGATCGTATCATTCAAATTAAAATATTAACTTTACTTTATTACACTAGTAAAATATTCTTTTTAATAGGTATGTATATATTTAATCCAAGCATATTAAAAAGAATAGAGCTAAAACCTATGAGCATAGAAAAAGAAGTTTTTCCATTTATGGCTGAAGATAATGAATTATATGCTATGGAGTTACCAGGTTTTTGGATGGATGTAGGACAACCTAAAGATTTTCTCAAAGGTACATTTGATGTAAGATAACTTTGATTTGATAAGAAAACTCTTAATCTATATATATATATTATATATTTTACTATATAGGTATGTGTATGTATCTTGCTTCATTAAGACAAAAGTCTCCTGAAAAACTACATTCCGGACCTGGTATAGTGGGAAATGTTTTAATAGATCCTACAGCCAAAATTGGCAAAGATTGTAGGATAGGTCCTAATGTTACCATCGGTCCTGGTGTTTCGTTAGCTGATGGTTGTTGTATTAAAAGGTCTACTCTTCTTAAGGCAGCTGTAGTAAAAGAACATGCATGGCTTGATGGGTGAGTATAAAACGTCGGTATAGAATAAAATATATACACATAATTTTTCTTAAGAAATTTATTATTTATCTTTTGTTAAATAGTTGTATCGTTGGTTGGCGTAGTGTCGTCGGACGTTGGGTACGAATGGAAGGTACAACAGTTCTCGGAGAAGACGTAATAGTTCAAGACGAACTTTATATCAATGGTGGTCAAGTATTACCACATAAAAATATTTCGAATTCTGTGCCGGAACCACAAATTATCATGTGAGAAAAGTAGACTTGAAATTGATTTTTTTAGACAATAAGAGATAAAATACATGAAATATCTTCTACTTTGAAAGTTTATATTTTTTTAAGTTTTGCAAATTTTAAAAAATGTCGCAAAAGTGCATATATATATTGACAACAGTATCACCGATATGTGTAACGCATTTATTCGAGCTTTATTGGTAAACCACGTGTAATTATTGAAGCTGCTGTCATGTATAGTGAGCATGCTTCTTTTGATTTTGATATTGCTCTCAACATCTCAGGTTCCGTTGTTACCTTAGCCATTTTTTTTTGAGAATCTTTTACAAATCCTGATAATATAAAATTTCATTATAAGCAATGTAAAATTAATATCATATTTCTAAGTATGTATACTGTACATTTCTTAACAAAATTTATTAGCTAAAGCGCAAATTTAGTTTAATTTATAATCTAATTTTGTAACTGTACTATATGTTTTCTGTAATATAAATATGCAATGAATTTTGTATACTAACTAAAATTGCCTTGGCACCATGCATCAATATCTACATGAGACCATGATCGTTGGGCGGACGATGGAATCCAAGTGCTAATAAAACTTGCTGTCATTTTATCAATGTCGCTATCTGTTACTTCCCATTGCATGCCCAAAACACATGGACTTAAAATATGATGTATGAAAATTAATACCGAAAAATTTTACGATTTTATATATGTATGTGCATATGTATCCTTTATATAAATGCTATATAACTGCTATAGATACTAAGTTACCTGCTGGCGATCAAATATTGATTGGTTATACCATAAGGGGGAAAACGTCCACCTATAGGAGTCATTCTGATACTATTGCATCCAAATAGTAACACGATTGCCTTTACCTTGAGTTTTTCTATATGTTCTCCAGGTAAATACTGTATACCACTTCCATGACCATTATACCTTTAAACACAAAGAATTATGGAGCTTTTAAAATTAGTTTTCCGAAAATTAATAAATTAATGCAATTCTTACATTAGAATATCATAATTAACCAATGCATCTTCAAACATGTCTTCTTTTGGCTTTGTATTGTATAAGCTTTTCCAGTTTGTTAACCAATAATTTATAAATAATTCTAAACGTTTTTCCATTTTATATAAATCACCAGAAGGATTAACTATACATGTACCAAGATTATCTTTTGCTTTAATTATTTTACATCCATCCTTTATTGTATTTTCATGCTGTTTAAATAATGCATATGCTACATAGATGGAAGAGAATCGTGTAATAGGATTATTTTTAAGAATTTCTATAGACTCAAATGGTAAAAAGTCCATATGCTAAAAATAAAAGATGCATATATTAAATACATAAAATAACAAACTCCAAAATTCTTATAAATTGTTAAAAGTTATGCATTTACTTCATCTATAATTAAAACCAAAGTTTTTCTCTTTGCATTTCGTAATATCTGTAAGTCTAATAATTTTCCATAAATTGAAAGTATCACATTTTCTGCCAGTTTTTCGTGATTGCAAAGAACATATTTAACAGCTCGTGCTATTTCTTCTCTTGTCAAAAAACATGCACCCAGGCTTATCTTTTTTAATAACCACTTAGTACGGGGGCATATATAGTCACTGCAAAATGTAAATTTGTATCTATTAAAATAATTTAACATTAATTAAATTTTGATTATTAGTATAATGATAACTTACCAAGATGGACAATCTGCTATTAATTTATCAATTATTAATTCCATATCTGTTGCAACATCCATGTTATCAATGAGATCTGCCATAAAAAGTATTCTCCATTCACGTAACCATGTGAATTCTAATTCATGAACTGCTGTCTTAAATAAACTAATATATTTAAGATTTGTGAATTTCCACAAATGATAACTATACCTACTGTATAAAAAGTTATCTTTGATACTGCAAATACCTTCATTTTATTATCTTGCTTCAGGCGCATCTTCCAATATAATTCTTTATTTGCATATGTTGCTGTTAGATCTGATTTATTATTACCCAAAATCTCATGAATTTCATTGCATATATCATACATAGTATGTGTCTGTGGTTTTGGTAAAGTTATACAAAGTGGTTCTATAATGCTATTACCAGTTGGAAGTATAGTAATGTGTAGAGCATGCATAGAATGATAAGTATGTTTATTGTACTGTAAATACAAAGAGTCCTCAAATTGTGCTGTGACTTGTACGATATACCACTCTAAGAAAAAACAAATCGGCATAAAATTAAATAATATATCTACTTATAAAAAGGTACAACATACCTTTTGGAAGATTTACAAGATTAGATAGTAAAGCTGCCTCAGGTTCTGGATATTGAGCATGAAGTTTTATATATTCAAATTTGAGCCCATATACTTGAGGCGTGCATAGAATTTTTTCACGCATTTTATTTTTCAGAAACCTATATGTAATTTGTTGTCGAAAAAATATTGCATGTGATTCAGAAAGATTATATATAGCCTTGACTTCTTCTCCTGCCTATAAAAAAGAAAATATATAAAAAATGATAGTGCTCAATCTATTGGATCAAATAAATCAAATATCAAATAAATAGAATCTGTGTAACCGTATAACAAAATTCTATACCATAAAATAAAAGTACCTTCAAATTACAACATGCCATCATTTTATTTAAATTACTGTATTCAACACCACCTGCATTAAACGATTTATTTGCAAGTAATTGTTCAATATCATTCTGTATTTCCTTTAAAGATGAATTGCTTGAAATTGTTTTTTTGGATCGTTTTTTTAATTTCATTGATTCAATAGGATGATTTTTGTGGATAATATGCATAATATCATCAATCAAATTATCCATTATTTAAAATTTGATTGCAGATTATTAATTTAACATGAAAATAATTGCTTTAAAAAGCTAGCTTTACAATAATAAAGATAATTTAATAAATTAAAAATAATTAATTATATAAATATAATTTATAATAATAAAAATAAAAATAATTTAATAAACAGTTTAAGTAGCATTTTATATAAGATCCATAGGAATATAAACAAGTAAGATATAACAATTATTACAGAATTAAAGTTTAAATTAAACTGTGCAAGTGACTACACGTAATAACTTTCTGTTATTTATTTACAACACAATTTAAATTTTGATCACGATGGCCAACGTAAATAAAACATAATTTTATACCCAAGAATTATTGGGTATATTTACATTTTCCCCTAAAATTTTCAGTTATAAAATTCAAGATTTTTATGCGGCGATTTCGTCGCGACTGTTACGCCTCTTCCAGCAAGACACATAACTAACACACCTCGGCGTCACTAAACGCACACGCGGGAAACCAACCAAACAAAGTAAAAGGCAACAAAGATCCCGAAAATAAAGGGGACGAAAAAAACCACGAAAACACAAAGAAAGTCATCCATTCTTTCTTCGATTCTTCTAAAGCCATAGCTGATGGAACTCATAGTCTGATTATATCTACTGTATACTGAACAAAGCTAAATAGACATATCACAATTGTTACTTGATGTGCAAAGTTTCTTTCTACATAGTGGGTTATCAATAATAAACCCATATCTACCTTCGCAATACGCCACCTTGGGTACGATCATCGCGATCGAAATAAATAATATATTAAGGCTGTTTTTTTGTTCAAAAAAGCATATGTGACTTAAGCGACAAGTATGGACAAAATATGAACTACGAAACAAGCAGGGAATACTGTCCTCTATTTACCATGCCTCTATCATATCGGTGTTAAGTTGTGTCAGTTATTCACCCCTCACGCGACAATAATTGGTTTTGTATGAGTAGAGTAAGTAGTTTAGTAAACTGTGAACGCACATTTGTCAGTCTCTTATATGTATCTTTCTTTGTTAGTGCATCTCTGCTAAATACGATAGTGATCCGTGCTAAATACGATTTAATACACATTTGTTTACAATAAATGCATAAAAAATAATAAATATAATTGATATATATAAGAATTAGTATATAAATCTGCGATAAAAATAAGAATTTGTCCAATATTTTCTTAAAAATAATTAGTGAATACTTATATATTATATTATTTGAATACAAATTAAATTCATTTTCACACCATTTATGAAGTAGAACTCTCAGCATTTTTTCTTACGTGATCTATAGGACTAGTCCAATCTATATGACTTCGACTACTACTACTAACAATATGCTACTATTACTATTACTAATAATAATAATATAATATCATATAATAATAATAATAAAAATGTACTTAAATATTATTTATATATATTTTATATCATAATAGTAAAGACAAAATTTTGACTGATCATGAGTAAGAAACAGTGTGGAAACAAAAGTATTACGATATAAGGTAGTAAGATAAAGAGAAACAATAGCAGAAGAAAACAAAAGAAACGATTTGTACTTTTCTTCATATGTTTGTATTAGATGGGCGATCATGTGCTGAAATTATTAAGAACACGATTTATTGAGAATCGCGTGTCATATCATCCCGTAAAATGGTATATTTTTCCTTCTTTTGTTATTATAAATTACCATCATCATATATGTTACGATGTATACAATGTAAGTATATTCTTCTGTTTCTTCTTATTACTGTTTTTATTAATATATTATTATATTATTATTATAATGATAGTAATAATGTTATAATAATATGAAGTGAACTCTCCTACAGAAGAAACGATAACAAAATAGTGTTGGTAGAAAAATCTCGTAGATAATGTGGAGCTTGTGTTTCGATTTTTATTAAAAATAATATATATAATATATATATATATATATATATATATATATATATATATATATGTTCACTAATTATTAATTTTGAAAAAATAATCTACAGATGTATATACTTTATATGCATTTGTCATCGTACAAAATTATACTGCTACTGTGTCTTATCTAGCACAAATCACCGCGAAATTCACGTCAGCCATTACTGGAGGAAATATTAGGATGTCCCATACGTTTCTTTCCTTTTTCTAATATGAAATGAATACACAATGTTTACTGTTCAAGATATTATTTATTTTGTTATATAAGAACCCTTTTGCTCTCTTACCTTCTTCCATCTCTCAGGAAGCCTCATTATGCCTTCTTTCCAAAATTGTTGTGTTTTGGACAAGAAATAATCCTGGAGGTGCGCTCTTATTTCACTGATGGATTTAAAGCGCTTATCGCGAAGAGAATTTTTTAAGGACAGAAAGAAATAATAATCAGATGGAGCAAGATCTGAAGAGTATGCAGGATGCGGTAAAACATCCCAATCAAACTGTAAGAGTTTTTCTCTTACCGCTAATGCAATATGTGGTCTCGCGTTGTCATAATGAAAAACAACGCCTCATCGATTCTGGTCGTTTTTTTGCTATGGCAGCTTTCAATTGATCTAGTTGATGACAATATTTCGTAAAATTTATTGTTTCACCTTGAGGAAGGAGCTTATAGAAAATTGCACCTTTCCAATGAACAAAAGAACTTTTTTGGAATGTAGTCCCGACTTTGCGACAGTTGAAGGCCTATTGTCCTTACATTAAGTGTGTTTTCCATGCACATTTTCATGTCAAATTCAAGTTTCGTCTCCAGTGACAAACCTCTTTAGAAACAAATCCTTTTCATGTCACTGGAGAAATAAGTCGCACGTAGATACGATTCATAAAGCTGGTCTCCGTCAGTAAGTGCGGAACCCAAACTTCACAGCGATTAACATATTCCATCTTGTGCACTGTTGTTTTGGGAATCCTAGCGGCATTCACTATTTCGCGCACACTATATCGCCGATTTTCATCAAGTATGGCTTTGATAAGCCATCGTTTTTGGGCGGCCGCTGCGGTCTTCATCTTCCAGATTAAAATTTCCCACATTAAATTTTTTAAACCAATTGTGAACAGTTGTAATAGTTATAGCACCATACATATACGGTACAAATCTCGTCGACAGTATTCTTTACACTATCACCTTTTTTGAAACAATGAAGTATAACATGCCGTAAATGTTGCCTTTTTCTACCCATGTTTATCAATAATTTAGAAATTCAGACACCTTGACAAAACGATCGGACATATTTTCTTATTTTTGCTATAAAATCGTGTGGCCAAAGCTTATTAAAATGACCGAGTGAGTTACCATAATTGCTCCGTGCGAGCATCATGAAATCCATTTCTTTGCGTTTGGAAACGTTAAAAAAATCTGAGCATTATCTATTTACGCACACAACCAACTAGACAATCGCTACTTCATGGTATAAAACATAAATCATTCAAGCACGTATATGAAAATCAGTAGTGGGCGTACGAGCTTCATTTCTTTTACCGTAAATTTCGGCGCCACAGTACTAAACGTTTTCTTTGCGAAAAATGTCGAAAACGGCATTTGCATCATTAGAGAGAACAAAAGTAATTCTCTACCAATTTTGATAAACAAGTTCACATTTTAAAGACAAAGGTTTAATCTACGGTGCTCTTTCGGCGGACTTTTGAAAAAGCTTTTTATTTGTGCATAAGCTATTCTTAAAAAATACCATTTTTCAATACAATTTTTTTCGAAGAAAGTAAAGTTTTTTCAAAAATCTTCCGAAAGGTCACCGTAGATTAAACCTTCGTTTTTAAAATGAAACCTTGTTCGTAAAAATCGGTCAAGAATTATGCCTGTTCTCATTGATGAAGTAAACCATTAAAATCCTAGAGGTAGTAAACAATCTCAAACATTTCAATGTTTACACACAATATCATTATTAAAATATTTATTAAGATTTTTAAAAATTGGTAGTACTTTTTATTAAAAAGATAATTGTTTAAGGTATAATTCTTCAAAAGATATATGTACATTTATAAATTATTCGTTATCATAATTATTCAAACATTTTTATAACTGACAATCGTGTCCATCTTATGGATAGATGTTGAAAATGACCTGAGTTGTACTTCCTGACTGTTTGCTATAAATACTGGTTGAGTCTCATCCCATTCTTTTGGAATGTTACAATCTTGGACAGTATAAGTTAGTATATCAAAGGAACATAAACAGTCCAATAAAGGTAGAAAACTTACAGTACCTGAAAAAGAGAAAAGTAATATTATTAATAAACAAAAATACCTTATAACAATGAATCTTGCAAAGACATTGTCGACAAAATATAATTAGTATAAAAAGTATAAAACTATAGATAAGAAAAATTAAAAATACCTGTAATTTGACGTATAACTTCTCGAATTTCTTTTTGGATAGTTTTCACATCCTTTGTACCAACTTCAGGCAATTCTACCATGTTATTATCGTTTATACTTTTTGGCGTATGGCCTTCATAGTCAACTCTAAAATCCCATTTCTCTAAAACTTCCTTTGTATTAACATTTGTTATAACCAAAGTTATTTTCTGAACTTTTCGCTGAACAAGCCATTCTTGAATCTGACCTAATACAGTGTCTAAGAATGACTTGATTTTCTCATCCGTTGACATTAAAAAGAATAAACCGAACTGTTCCGCTGGTTCAAATGTTTCAGGAGGATAAATTCCTCTCTGATAAAGTATACTGTTGATTCCATAAACTGTATGAAATAATAGTTATATTTCTTAAGAAATAAAATTAACACATTTTTTAATATAAAACGATTAAAATTATCACAATATAAACTTACGTAAATATTGTTTCACCAATTCTGCAGACCCTTTTAATGTAATACATTTTGTTTTCTGTTGTGTCTCAGTCATTTTTCCTACAATTCGAATTTATACCTGGTACTGTTTAATTTTATACAACAAATAACTTTTTGTAGGTTAAACCGATGCCGGTCTTTCATTTTAAAACTGATCAATCTGTTTAAAGTATCTACAAGATAAGCCAATCAGATGCTGTGAAAATAAATTGCTTATAATATCCAAAGGCATTCGAAGGACTTGAAGGATTCTACAAAAAAAAGACAATTACCAATAGCTCAACCAATGACATCATAGAACATTTTGTTTAATATAAATTGAAATTATCTGATTAAGGAACACAAAATTAAAAAGTAGATGATAAGAGTTATCTTTATTTATCTTATAATATAGTTTTTAGAGATTTGTTTTTGTAATTTAATTTTTAAAAAAGAATTCTCTTAAGGGCGTGCGCAGATGTCACGTGTTGTGACGTGTGCCATATATGAAGACGATACTAGTGATACTTAGTTTCTTTTTCTTTTCATGGAAATGAACAAAAGTAATTGCGACCTTAAAGATACTTTTCTATTTGTTGTAAGATCTGTATAGTTTAACAGCGATAGCTCATACTTTAGAATCAAACTTGTCCTATCCATTCATGAAAACGCAACATAAAGTTGTGAACAAGAAATAAAAGTTTCGTATGACCAATTGTACAAGATTGTTTCATTAAACCTTCGCTAACCCTCGATCCATTTCAACCATGGCGTCGGTTGAAGAATTAGGCGTTTCTGCCCTTGTCTACGATTATTTACTGAAAAAGGATGCATCTTTAGCAAAGGTTTTCCAGAAAAAAACACAGGCGGTAAGATAATATCATAGTATTTTATAAATATAATATATTCATAATTTTAACACGATGATTACCACGCGGACGATTATTACCGCCATCCGCCATACCACGTGGGCCAAATCACGTTTTTGTATATTTCATCAATACCGCTTTTATAAATAATTCAAATATTATTATAATAATTATTTTACTAGCAATTAATTCTGAAATTTATCATTTTGGATTTTCACGTTTATTTGTCTTTTATCCTTTTTGATATTCTATTGATATATTCAATGGTGCTTAAAAACAGACTTTCAGTTTAAAAGATAGTATTTCTCAAAAGATGAATGTTTTTACAGCTTCCATTACCAAAAGGAGCACCTACTATACAGGATGTATTTCAATATTTTCAAAAGAGTTCGCCAAAGAAAATTACAATAAAGGCACAAACAAAAGATAGTAGTTTAGATTCAAGCTCTGAAAGTGAAGATGAGTCACCAAAAAAAGCAGTACAAGTAAATGGTAAAGTTACAGCTAAACCAGTTGTTGCCACAAAAAAAGATGTATCTTCTTCAGAAGAATCTTCAAGTGAGGATGAAAAACCAGCATCTAAAGTTGCTCAAAAAATCCCATTGAGTAATGCAGTAAAATTTAAAGCAGCACCTCCTAAGATATTAGAAAAGGCAAAAGGAAATGTCAAGGGAATGCCTGCTAAAGAAGAGGATAGTTCAGAGGAAAGCTCTACAGAAGAGGAAGAAGAGAAACCAAAATCACAAATAAAAACATCTGCATCACCTAAAGTTATTAAAACATTAAATGTAAAGAAAGCCTCCAGTAGTGAATCTGACTCTGAAAGTGATGAAGAGGAATCTAAAGTAAAGGTTGCTGCTAAATCTGGTAATTCCTTCAAATCTGCACCAGCTCAACAAGTAAAGAAGCAACAAAACAAAAATGTAGAATCCTCGAGTGAAGACAGTAGTGATAGTGACGAGCAACCAACTGTTAAAGTAGTAAAAAAACCAGTTCCTACACAAGTACTACTATTAAAAAAAGGTCCTACTAAAAAAGGAGCCAAAAACGAAGAATCAGGAAATTCATCAACAAGCGAGGAGCCGAAACCAAAAATAACATCCACACCAGTGGCTAATAAGAGCAATATTTCTAAAAAGTCTGAATCCTCAAGTGATGAATCTGATGATGATACTCATGCAAATCAAATGCCAGTAGCTGTGAAGCAAGCATCTTCTCAAAAAGTAGTTCCACAAAAGAAAAATGAAGTAGATAAAAAGAATAAGAACCAAATGTCTGTTATATTGGGACAATCGAAACAAAATATAAGTAAAAAAGAATCATCATCAAGCGAAGACAGTAGCGATGAAGAAACAGTGACTAAGAAACCTGCTGTGAATAAATCAGTGCCAGCAGTAAAACCATCTATAGTTGCAATAAAGAAAGCATCATCTTCTAGCGAAGATAGTAGCGAGGAAGAACCAACTGTCAAGAAATCTACTCCTGCTAAACAATCACAAAATTCAATAATTAAAACTGCGAAGGCGAAAGAAGCATCATCTTCCAGCGAAGAGGAGAGTGATAAAGAAGCAATTGTGCAGAAGCCACCAGCATCCAAAAAAGGAACTGTTAAGAAAGAAGAATCTTCTAGCGATGATTCTGACGACTCAGATGAGGATAAAAAAGCAAAAGTAAAGACCATACCGACAAAAGTATTAAAAGCAGCACCAGAAAAGGTAGCACCAAAACAGGATTCATCAAGTGACGATTCTGACGATTCTGAAGAAGAATCTGCTTCCCCTGTAAAGCCAACACCTGCAAAAATGGTACTTATAGCAAAGAGTAAAAAGCAAGAGTCTAGTGATGATTCTGATTCAGATTCTTCTGAAGAGGAAAAGCCAAAGGTTGCAGCAGTTTCTGAGACTGCAATTTCTAAAAAATCTACGGATTCAAGTGAAGAAAGTGATTCGGACGAGGAACAAAAGCAAATGGTAAAACAGCCGACTCCAAAGATTAAGACACCTGGTAAAGCTGAAAAAAGGAAAAATACTGAAGAACAAGAAGAAAGTTTACCTACAAAAATTGCAAAGAATAATTACAGCAATTTTGTTAAAGCAACTAATAGCTTTAACGGGGATAAGGTGCGATATTACGTATCGTTTATGTATTTATTATTACTGAACGAGGCTGTTGTATTTTTTCATTTTTATTTATTTCTTTTTTCTTGATAAATATAGCAGCAAAGAAATAATACACCATTTCGTCGAGTAAAGGACGAAGATGTTTCATTGGATCCAAAATTGGCTAACAATTCCTTCGAGGCAAAGGTAAATGCTCGGAAACATCCGAGAAGCGCACAGGTCACTCGCCGCCTCGTAAAAGCTTGCGACCATGTTTCCGTGCATTAACCAGAAGCTTCTTTCAGATAATAATAATAATAATAATAATAATAAGACGATTAAAAACACGATATATGATATTCGTGAGATGCGGCGATTGACCTTGTGTTTCTCTTTTGTTTTAGGAGGAGTATGAAGATGATAATAATTTTAAGCAACACAGTGGTGGTGGTGGAGGTCGGGGTGGATTTAGAGGTGGGCGCGGTGGTTATGGATTTCAAGGAGGTCGAGACGAGGGACGTGGGGGTTATCGAGGCGGTGGTCGTGGCGGTGATAGAGGTGCGCGTGGTGGATTTAGAGGTGGTCGAGGTGGTAGGGGCGGTTTTGATAATAGGAAGTCTTGGGGTGGCAATAATGACGATAACGATAAGGATAGAGGAAATGGATTTAGGAAATCATGGAGTAATGATAACGGAGATAGGGGAGGTCGTGGTAGAGGGGGTTTCCGTGGAGGTAGAGGTGGCTTTGATAAAAGAACAACTTTCGATTCCGCATCTACACAAAATAAAAAGATTACCTTTGATGATTGATGATGAAAAGAAATATAAATGTATATATATATATCTATATATAAACAGGTGAGATATTACTTATTTCTAAATATACGTATAATATCAAAGAAATAATTGATTTTATTAGCACCGCCGTGTGTGTTAATATATTTATTCCGCCCTTTATTTTTCTTTTCTTTTTTTATTTTCTTTTAACAGAAAGGCGCACGAGGTTCATGGGGAGAAAAGGCTAATCTGGATTTGCGACATACAAGAGGAAAGTCTTTTAGACATGAAAAAACCAAGAAGAAGCGAGGTAGTTACCGCGGTGGTCAAATAGATACAAGTGTTAACTCTATTAAGTTCGACGATTAATCAGTTTGATAGATTAAGTAAAGTAACATAGGTATATTTCATTGATCACATTTCTATTACTTTAAAGAGACTGCTAATCAAAATTAAAGAACAGAATTATGAGTCTGTTATCCGAACACTTGCTATACATTTGTTTTGTCGATTAATATTCTTCGTTGTATAAGTAATATTTAGAATTAATAGTTTTAATATTAAATGACCATATTTTATATCTGTGTACGTGTAGATATGTTTTGTTTGTTTCACGTAAAAGATGCAGTATAGAGATATTTTCGCATTACAATTTGCGATTTACATATATATGATTACAAGTCAAATCTAATGATAAACTAAGATCGATTAATTCCTACAATAAATAGATATTCTTTTCGAGCAACTTCTGTGTTTAACTTATAATTTGAGTCGTTTCAATTAATTGTTCGATTTTTGTTTAACATATATAAACTATTTATATAAACTGTTTATTGCAATATTTAACGTGACAGGTGGTTTTATAGTAATAGAGAAAAAACAGATGGTTTATATAGTAAATCATAATTTCTTATTAGCTTATTTTTTCATGTCTTAATATTTTCATTTATTAATAAATAATTGAAATAAGATTATATTTTTCGGAATGAATGAAATTATATGTGCTATAATCTAATTTGCATAGTTTTCAGGATTGTAATACATTCTTAAATATCGTATACGTGTAACTTATATAAGCGAACATCTCATTGTCACAGAAAGCGCTGTCAGTTTTAAAGGAAAATTCTAAGCGTTTATATAATAACTTGTATGATATGATGATCATTTGTTGATGAAAAAAATATTGATAGAAGAGAAAAAATAAATATAAGTGAAAGAATAAATGATTTTTTTATTCTAAATATATACGTATATCACGAATCATTGGTAACAAAACGGAAGTATACAAGAATTGTTGGAAAAAAAATTAAGCTTTAAATATAGAAGATAATTTTGATCTTTAGAAAGAGGGGAGGTAAGAAAAAAAATAATTATAATAATTTCCTGTTACTTAGACTTGATTTTCATTCTTTTTTCTTTTTTCCCCCTTCATTTATCTTAACCGATACACGATGAAGGAAAAAGTTCCGAGGTAAAATAGGGAGCAATACATCCCGCTTTATCCCCTCTTACCGACGGCTTCTTCAGCAAAGCACAGAGAGAGCTACTTAGGACTCTACAGTGCTCTGCAGTCAACCTCTGGACATCCACCTGCGAGGACGGAGGTGTACGACCCCATATCCGGTGTAGTGAGACATGACCGGCATTTGAGATTCGTGCACCCGTTTTTTCCCTTTTTCTTTTTTTTTTTCGTCTCTATTATCTTTTCATTAATAATTGCAATCGAATTCGTTTAATGTTACGTAGAGTTTGACGATCTTTTTGTTAAAAAGGGAGTGAGAATTCGGGAGAACACGTTGTGTTTACTGGATAGACTCTCCCTCTCTCTATTTTTTTCAAGGTGAGTAATAACTTAAAAGTTTTAACAATTACGTGGTATTATTTAAATTTTAAATGTAATTTAATTATTTATTATTTAACGTAAACTATTTTCAGTAGATTTTTTATTATAGATTTTTATAAATGTGCATCGCAAGTAACATAATCTTTGACAAATTACGATATTTTATTATCATGAGAGATGTACATATTTTTTAGTCTACGATAAACATTGATATTTAGTTTCTAAATTAAAAAAACATACAGTATAATAAATGATCGTTGCGGAGGATAGTTTACAAAATATATAATTTTAAAAAATCAAAGACCGGAGAAAATTTGCCTTCTTATAAGAAGATAAAAATCGAATATAATAATTTATTCGTGAAACGAGTCACCGAAACGCTTATACCGTTATTGAACCCGCAAGGATGAGTAAACATAAATAAAACGTACGTGTAAGGTATATGGTAAGGCATGAGTTCAGAAAAAATCTTTTTGGATGAGACATACATCGTTACCGTTAGAATCTTCCGGATAGATCATTAGAAACATGCTATTAGCTGTTTCTAAGATATCCTAATAATCTATTTTTGATTCTAGAAGCTAAATCGTTATAAATCAAAATGAATTAGACACTACGATCGATGAAAATTTTAAATCTACAAATGTAAGGAATAAATAAATAGAACTTTAATGTGAGTAGATAGGGCTACTAGGTACGACCGTTATGTAAGGCCGTTAGGCCGCAAAGTAGGACTGTTTCAAGTTCATTCGATTCTCATGAGTTATATCCTTATTTTCTTTTCTTTTCGTTTCTTTTCTTTTCTTTTCTTTTTCGATATAACTCGCATGGATCTTTTCGATTTCAAAATCGCGACTTGCGTGCGGAAATAATAAGTGTGTGGAGATAGAAAGAGTGAAGATGTGTTTATGTCAGAAGAGACGGATACATTTAATGCCGAAACTCTCTCTCTGTGTGTGTATATATATGTGTGTGCGCGCGCGCGCGTGCGTTTGTGTATGAAGGGAGAGAGAAAGAACGCAAGGAGGTCGTTAACGTGGTAACGTTAACCGACCTTGAGCGGGATCCATCGATGATTTCTTGATGGTGTTTGGCTTTGATTATAAGAAGAATCAAGCGCAAAAAATTGTTTTTGAATTGGTATACTCGTATAAGCAATCGTGGGAAGTCAATGAAATTCAACATTTGAAATAGTAATTAAGCAGATCTATCAAAAAAGATAGATCATTCGAAATTTTTATTAAAAAGATATATCAGAGTTTGATGTTCAACATTCTGCTTTCACTCCTACTGTATCCAGTCTCATACTTGTGAGAATGTGCCTAATGGAAATTATTATGGATCCAACAACCTAGAAACCCGAAAGTGCATATAAGGATGCATACCGATAGCAAGTCGGCACTACTAATCATCATTCGAAATCGTGGTTGCACACGTGAGAGTGACCCCACTAACTAACTAACACAAATAGATTCTATGTACGATCGGACACATCGATGCGTGCGAGTTGCCGCGAAAGGGAAAAAAGTTTCAAGCTCTAGAGAACAAGCACACGCTTGGTTCTCATTGCTTTAGCCCTTTTTTCTTTTCTAATATCTTCCTTTTATTTTTTTTTTTATTTTCCTTTATGTGTTAATCATCTTTTTCTTTCTACTACACAAACGTAAAAAAGTACATGTTCTTATCTTCTTGCGAACTCGAGTTTCGAGATAGCACGTACATGCTGATTTCATAATTCTTCGTCTATATTTCATTATTTTATTTCAGATGCATAAATATTATTTCGGATTATTTCTAATTATTATCGCGATGTGTGCCAAAGTGTACACCGCGAAAAAGTGCGAAGGAAATGGCCTAGGATTGAAGTATGTATGGGGGGATGCATTAACAGACTCGCTAGATTGCATAGGACCTAATAATGTGCAATATCCTACGTAAGTGTTTGAAGATATCTACTTATAAAAAAGTTACCCATCATTTTTAACAGTCGATTAAAAGAATGAATTTTTATTTACAGAGCCGCGATATTGAGAACCTTTAAAAATCTTTGGGCAAATGGTCGAACCGCTAGATATCATCAGTCTCAAACTACCGATCCCAAAATAACGAGACAAGCCCTTCTTCATAATTACAAACTCGCACAGGGAGATTTCTCAATAACGGGACATGCACGAAATGGTGAGTTTTAAATATGATCCATAATTATTCTACCTTTCAAAAAAAAAAAAAAAAAAAAAGAAAAAAGAAAGATGTATCGAATCGTTTTAACGGAAACTAAAAGGAAAAAAAATTAGTTACACTCTGACATCATAGATTAATACGAAAAGCTTCTTTCAATGAATTTCTTTTATAAATTGTCCAAATAATATTCTTTTTCCTGATAAATTTTGCAACGTTCAAGGGAAATGAATTTGACCGAATTCTGAAATAAAAAATAAGATTACTTTTTTTTTTTATGGATGATCAGATAGAAACGAACATAAGACCATCAACCATAAAGATTCAAAGATGTATGGAACGAAGGCGAAATTATTCGTCATTATTTCTTGCATCTCTTTGTAATCATAAATAGGTCGATTTGGAGTTATGATTATGACCTAAATCGATCCAAGTCAATTATTTTTAGTTTAGTTATCTAGGCAGATAGTATTACATGTCATATCGCTGTAAAGTTATCCTCTGATGAGAAGGAATCCTTTGGGACGGAAGACGGGTAATAAGGCACCATGTTATCCAGTCAATACAGTTATCGTTCGTTGTGCTTATAACGGTATTCGTAGGCGACCCACTCACGTTCCTTTCGAACGTCAACTTGTGCACGTTCGTCGCTCCGAAGAATTCCGAGGAATTCCGAGGAAAGAGCGAAGACGACCCCTCTCGATCATGATGTCGATCATCTTCCGTTTTGATCTCATAGATCTAAGGATCTAGCCTTTCCTTATGTTTCTTCTGATCGATCTTTTGATATTTTGATTTATGAATTGTTATATTAATTTTTTTATTTCTTATAATTTTTAGGACGAGGCTTTTCTGCAAAGGAAAGCTGCGGCTCTCCAAGCAGACTCTGTAAAACAAGGTATAACACCACAGCACCTATGTATGGTGTCAGTTTGACGAGTGGTCAACCAGTGACAATCGTACAAAAGTTTCCTGATCTTCTTCAGCAAGTCGTATTCGAAGTCTGCGAGTAAGTATTCTATATTTATATCATCAATATTAGAATTTCTCTTACTATCATGTAAAAGAAAACGTGTAACTTGTTGAAATATAAACGAGAGAGTTTCGAATTAAAATTCTTGTCGTTCTGTCAGCGATTCGTTTTATTTCAAATGTAGCACACTAGGCCAGATACCTTCTACGATACTTAATGTTCGTAAATAACATACTTTGGCCTACTCTTCAATTATTTTTCAAATACAGGCTAGTGTTAAATATTTAATCGAAGTAAATCCTTTTTATGATATAATTAAAAACGAATATCAATCGAGTCTTCTTTTTTCTGATTAAATAAAAAATAAACATAAAACGAATATATTTTTCAGATCGAAAGAATGCGATGTAGTCCATGGTGAATGCACCCAAACATATGTGCCTTACTTGTTTTTGGTGATTCCTTTGGGGCCGGTGACCCTAACCGGTCAGGATTACGTGCTGGTTGAGAGTGGTTGCGTCTGTAAGCCAAGGAATTTGGCGAGTACAGCATCCGAAGCGCCTGTTGTGCCAAGCTTCTAAGAAGCATTTCTAATTCAGATATGAAACGTTGATGATAATGTCCAATAATTTCTTCGATGAAGTTCTCTAAAATTAAAGGGAGAAACACGAAGAAGGATGAGACATGAGGAGATATAATATGAATATTGTGACGATGTAAATGAAAATTTAAAGGACCGACTCGTCGATCGAAATAGTGAACTTTTTCAGGCGATCGTCGAAATTATAGGAAAATGTGTTTGATGGCAAACAAAAAATATGTACGCAATACGCATACTGTATAAAGAAGTTCAAATTTAACGTAATTAATTAATATTAACAAAATGTTTAACTTGTAAGAAAATATGATTAATCTATGTAAAACTATTACAAAATTATCACGAGACTTTTATGTTTTGTTGATAAGGATATACAAATCGTTTCTTCGCTCCTATTATTTATATATATTGTAATAAGTAAAAAAAAATTATTTTTATCGTATTAATGTGTCTTGGAAAAAAAATGTCATATTATTTTTCGAAGTCATATATAAAAGTAGTTGAAGAGTAAAGCAATGATATTGTGGTAGTTTAAAAAAGTAAATTGGAGCAAGCGACGAGGTCCGCGGAATCTGGTCTCGGAATTCACAATCCAGTTCACTAGACTCGCCTCGAGCCGGTTTTAAGCAGGTGTATCGTAGAATTCAACGATCTCGTATAATCGAAGTATTCTTCATGGAAAACGGGGTGTAATTCTAACCGTAACTTTCACATTATTTTGTTTTTAATAGTCGTTAGAATCTAAACGATTAATTTTGATATATTCATGTTCGGAATATATATTTCAAATCAAGTTTGAAAAAGAGAGCATGTTGCATCGATAACTTTCATTGGTCGATAAAGAACACGTAGCTAAATGGTCTTATCGATAGTGTAAAGAACCACTTTCGAATCTTGTCCTTCTTGAGGAAAAGTAACAAGTAAAATAAAAGACAGGGTCAAAAGCAATGAACTTGACTCATAGCATTACTAAATCAATGTTTCAGTCGTTTTTTAAGGTTAAGGTCAGCGAAAGTTGCATATGTTATTTCAAACTTGGTCGGTAAAGAAGAACACTCTCGAAAGGAATGAAAATTTGTTGTTAAATGTCTATAATTTAATATGATAATTTTAAACAAACTCGAGACTACGATATGCTTCTTTCGATACATTGAATATACTTTTGACCCTGTTTACGTCCTCGAAAGAGAACGATGGTAAGCTGTACCGATGAACGGGATGGATGGACGCTGACCGAATCGACTTTACTGTAAATTCCGATGAGTGTAATGTACCGTTACAACTTTGCGGAACCCTTCACCTCGATTCGCGTCTCTTACATTTTTATTTCTCTTAATTGATAGTTTAGCTTCATGTGATTGCACCATTCTCAACACCTGTTAACACGATTTTAAATTCATATTCTTACTGAAAAGCACATACCAATTTCTTTTCTTACATTCCATCTTTTATACTACTTATTAGAGGATGAATATTTGACGAATATACAATTGTAATAATTAATGGTTAATATTGAAGAATCATCTGCGTTGTCGAACGATTTTTGAGATTAAGTTTCGTTAATCATTTATTTCTTTAACGTTATGTTCCTGTTTAAATACGTTTAAAAAATACGTTAAGAGATCGTTAATAATCGGCTAACTTCATTGCTGTTTACAGAAAAATGAAGACAAGAAAAACTATCAATATATGTGCTAATTTTTCTATCGATAATTATTGAATGCATGTATGTATGTATTTTTTATTTATTATTAGGTTATCTTTCTTCATATGTACAACATATAACATATATCTATCAGTATCGTTTTTCTTTTTGTTATGTTTCTAAAAATTATTTGTAAAGTTAAATTTTACCTGAGAAACTTTTTTTTGGAAACTTTAATTTTGTTCACTCATACTATCGATATTCGATAGATAATGTTCTTTTCGTGTAAATTCAATAATGAAGATATTATTAAATTGATTAATAAATATAGCAATTATTTAATGTATTCAAGCTATTTTATATTTAATTTTTATTCTGATTAATTACCGTTGATGAAAAACGAAAGTTAACACAACTGAATCCTGATTGGTTAATTCTGAAATATACAATAATATTGTCCAATGAGAAGTTCGTAAAGCTTACGTCACAATTTGTTTATTTAGAAATTAATTTTATTTTTTACATATTTATACAATAATTTGTTATTAATAATACATTTTAAAACAAATCCAATCACATAAAATGACTATCGATTTATCGAAGAAAAAAGAATACTGCAAAATTTTAGGTTGGTAGTATTGTTGAGGTAGCATGACCTTGGTAGTTTTTGCCATTTTTAAATCTTTGAATAAATATATATTGAAAATTAATTTCGAATATTTAGGCTTCATTGGTCTAAAATGCGTAGAAAAGAAAATATTAGCAATAGAAAATAAGAAAGAAATAAAAAAAAAAAATAGGAACTTATATGATGAAATTTCTTTCCAATTTCATAATATTCTTTGCATCGGAATACACTAGATTTTGATGATATACTCCCTTTCTCAATGATTCATATTCGAAGAGATAGTAGCAGCAGCCATGTTGGCCGATTGATCCACTATTCGCGTCTCTACTTAATTTGTTAGAATTTTATGTTCGTATGCAAAATTTGTGAGATTTATAACCGTGTAATAGAAATTGTGTATTACAAAGAATAAGATTTTCGTATTTGTACGATATTCATTTGTTGATAAACAAAAAGAAAAGAATCAGTTTTGGCACTTAGCCGACTGAGAACTACGTTCTCCGCACGGAACTTTTTTAACATCCACACCTTGCCAAGATGATGTATACGGTAAGATAACTCAAATATATTTAGATTGTATAACAGATTTATTTATCTTTGACCTTGAAAACTTGTAATATGAATACATTACGATTGTAAATCTTAATAAATATTTCAACTGTGAACACAGGGGACAACTGCTTCGCAGGATACTAGATTCAGCGATAAGGAGAAGAAACTTCTCAAGCAAATGAAATTTGGTGACTCTCTGACTCAAAAGGTGGTTATAATCACAATATTGCCCGTATTTGTTATCTATAATGGATGTAACACTTTATATAATATTCTTTTATATACAGGTCGATATGAGTAAGGTAAAACTAGATGTAATAAAGCCATGGATAACAACGAAGATTACACAGATTCTAGGCATGGAAGATGACGTTGTGGTAGAATTTGTGTATAATCAATTGGAAGAAAAGGTAAGACATCTATCATATCACTTTGGATAGATCCAGCGATATAGCTAATTTAGATTTAGTATCGTTTTATTGAATGAATTATAAAATGCGTTCACTTGGCTTTTTCCCCTCATCATAGGATATCGATAAATACACATTATTTCAGCACTATGTTTGGTATAAGTTACAGACGTTTAGATCCAAAATCTGCACGAGTTGCTGACTTTGGATTCGTAAAGCAACAAGGCAGAAAAGATAGTATTTATCGTACTTGCCTGTTTGCTTTTTAATTTGGTTAAATGTCACTGTTCCTGAGTATCCTGATTTTTGTGAATCCAAGTATCTCCTCCAAGCATATTCATTTTCAACAAAAGAAAACTGATGTAGCTGATCTTGACAAATTGAATGTGTGAACGTAATGTCTTATCGCATATGTTTGAATTCCCCGTTAGTATAAGTAGAGACCGTTGGTGGGGCTCAACCCTTTTGTCCAAATGGCATTCGGATGTGCTCCTCCCTACATCCGTATGGCCGCCTTTGTATCAGCCGTCGACCATAGCGTCAACCGTTGGCAGCTGCTATATCAACATCAGCTTAGAACAACTGCTGAATCTTCAGCATCTTGGCTGTAGTGGCATCCTCATTACAACGTCATCGAGGGAAACGACTTTGCATCGATACTTTCACCGCATCATGCTGATTCTGCCGATCCTGTTTATTTCATCCTACTTTGGAGCTCTTCGTCCATGGTGTTTCATCACTTGGCGTAGTAGCTGACGAAGCTCGTGACTGCAGCCACGAGTATTGTCTTCGTCATAGCTGCCACTTCGATAGAAGTGGTCTGATGTCGAGCTGCTGTTATGAGAGCTGTTCCCAGCTTTCATCTGGGGTTTGAGCGTCGGCAGCATTCCAGAGGTTTTCTCCATGGGAACATCATCTTTTCAACTTCTGATTCCTGTCAACTGCAGTCATCTATCAACACCGAGATCTGCTGGGAGCTACGTGTAGCTGCAGTACACAGCCGATGTTGCATGCTGAAAATCATCTTCATCGGGCATTATCCATGTTGCATAAGCATGGATTTTTATCGGAGCCGGTCCTACTTGCTGCTTGCAGAAAAACACCGATCATCATCTGGTATTACCAGGGAATTCAGAAATATTTCCAGTCTACGCTGGAAGTATCTCTTCAATGGTTTGACAGTCTTTGTCAATGGAACAGGTTGGTGAAATGGTAATCCTTTTATTCTGCATTAATTTTTTGACTTTCCTATTTCAGCATTTTCAATATAGCATTCAGTGAAATGGCGAAGAACTTAAAGGTATCTGTATGCTTGAGATATTTCTGCATTTATCGATAAATTAGATATTTTTCTTAGCAAGTACTGCCTCTCGCTGTAGGTAATTTTATATGCGGACTGTGATGCGATGGGTAAGATATGTCACTAATATGGAGATAAATCTGCTTTTTCGAGGGGGAAAAGCAGTTAGTTATAAATTAGGGATAATGATTTTGTGTTTTTTTTATATAATGCTCGCATAAAGGTATACATACGAGTACAATACTTTTTTACAAATGTTTAGAATTTGAACGAGCTAAAGTTGAGATTTTGTAAATTGATAAATTTTTATGCTATGTATTTTACAGTTTCCTGACCCCCGAAAAATGCAGATCAACCTCACGGGTTTCTTGAATGGAAGAAATGCTCGATCTTTCATGGGTGAATTGTGGGACCTTTTGGTCTCTGCTCAAGAAAGTGTTACGGGCATTCCAGAGGCTTTCTTACAGCAAAAGAAAGATCAGATTAAAAAACGATTGGTAATTACATCATTCTCTAAATTTCGCATGTAAAGTAAATATATTCACGTTAATTTATATTTCTTCTTTTTTTCATTTTGCAAGGCATACTATATAAATTTATCCACTTGTCTTGTCATGAATTGCTGTCAGAAGTTAGAACAATTGAAAAGCTAAATAACATGTATTAAGAAGTTAGGTTGATTGGTTTAAAAACTTATAATATTAAATATATTGTATGATAATAAGTAAACGTTATAAAATTAGTATAATATATATATATTTAAAATATTGTAATATATTACTTAGGAAGAACAAGAAAAACTTCAAGCATCTTTAGCAGAAAAAGAAAAAGAGAAGGAACGCGAAAAAGAAAAGGATGAGACAGACAAGATAAAAAAAGAAGAAAAGGAACGTGCTTCATCAAAAGAGCATAGAAGAGATAGAAGTAGAGATCGTGATAGAGACAGGTACATTTTTTTCCATTCGCTTGATAATAATTCGCATATTTTGCATTTATTGTATTAATTACATTAATATTATTCACATAGAAGTAAAAGAAGTAGATCGAGAGATAGACACAGAGATCGTGATAGATCCAGCCGAAAAAGGAGATCTACTTCGAGATCGCCCAGTAAAAATTCTCTTAAGGATAACGGAAAAGATATGTCAGATATTAAAGTCGAACGTGAAGATTCTCCACAACCTGAAAATGCAATACCGTTAATGCCAGTTAAAACTAAACCGTAAGTATTTTGATGTTTTTCTTCTTTTTTTTTTTTTCTTCCACAAATATGTGTATTATCACATATTTATTATATTGTATTAGGGAAGCAGCCGTTGCAATATCCAGATTACAAGCAAAATTAATGAGCATCGCTGATGGTAAAAAGAAGAACAATCGTACACCATCACCCGAGTCATTGGATAAAACAACGAAGAAATCAAGATCAAGATCCAAGTCACCAGGAACGCGTTCGAAGAAATCTAGATCTAAATCACCTAGTCGAGATTCAAAATCACGTAGATCACGTTCACCTGCATCGAAATTAAGAAGATCCCGATCAAAGTCTAGATCTAGAAGATCTCGATCTCGATCTCGATCAAAGTCAAGAAGATCTAAGTCACGTTCGCAAGAGCGTTTAAAGTCGAGAAGATCTAAATCAAAGAATTCTAGATCTCGCAGTAGATCACATTCTAGATCGAAAAAATCTAGATCAAAAAGCGACGATCGAAGTAAATCTCGAAAATCACGATCCGTGTCGAGCGATTCGAGATCTACGAAATCTCGTTCAAAATCATCCGATAAACGAAAGGACAATCTTGATTCTAATCGAAAACGAGATAATAGTACTAGCAGTAGTTCTGGAACAGAAGGTGACAAGGGTGCAAAGGATAAAAATGATTTTGAAATAAGAAAAAAGAAAGATGGTGTGCAAGCCAAACGATCTTATAGAAAAACGAATAAAGATGACAGTGGTAGCGATAGCGATTCAAGTCGTGAGAGAAAATCAGCACCCAAAAGAAGAAGTCCAACACCACGTAAGGAGAGAGGCCGTTCCAAGGAGAGAGATAGATCTCGCGATAGATCGCGAGATCGATCGCGTGATAGATCGCGAGATAGATCACGAGATAGAACAAGAAGGTAAAGAAATAGATTTCTTTGATTAAATTTTATATGGATTTTTACATAGAATTTTACATGGGAATTTTACAATTATATATATGGTTCATTTAAATCAGGATTATTTTTATGCGCTTCAGGAGATCTTTGGATAGAGAACGTGATCGACGAAGGGAACGAGAAAGAGAAAGAGAGAGAGAAAGATTGGACAGATACAGCGGAAATCGTAACATGCGGCCACCGTCTGTACGCAGAGCACCTAGTAGGCGAAGGTGCGTCTGAATTGCAAATGTTACATGAGAAAGATAGAGGAGGAATCATTTTAATAAAAAATGTTATCTCTTTCAGAAGTCCGCCACGTAGAAGCCCGGCTAGATATCGTCGAAGATCTCCAAGTCCTGGAGACAGGCGTAGAAGAAGATCTTTGGATCGCAGGAGGAGATCGTCGGAGAGGCGCGATAGACGACGATCACCCGATCGTCGAGATAGTAGACGTCGTTCGCCCGATGGAAGGGATAGATCACACAGGTATGATAGATCGTCCTCTCGTGACAGATCGAGTAGACGAGAACGTTCCAGAGATAGAAGGGATAAGGATCGTAGATCGAGATCTAGGGATCAACGATCATCAGTGGATCGTATGAGAGACGGGAAACGATCTCCCGATCGTTCGAAGGATGGGAAGGATAAAACGAGGGACAAGAAGGTTGATGATAAAGTTAAAAGATCGACTGACACGGGATCGCGAAAAGAATTACGAAACGGAAGGTCTAAGTCAAGTAGCTCGGAAAGTAGCGAGAGTAGTACCTCTAGCAATGAGGATGAAACAGTTAGGTGAGTATGATGTCGTTCTTTCCTATGTCTTTCTTTTCAGAAGCTACGGTTATCCAGTTATATGAGTATTTTTTGATTCGCGTTTTATTAATACTCTTATTTTAATATTATTTTTTTTTTATTAACATTTACACACGTGTGCTTGCAGAAAATCAACCGAAAGAAAATCTCAAGAGAAGCACGAGCGGGAACAGTTGGACGAGAATAAGAGAAAAGAGAAGGAGAAGATTCTTAAGGAAGAACCTATGAAGCGGGCTGAAAAAGACGTGAAAAAGACCGAGTCAGTCTCTATTAAAAAGGCTGAACCAAGCGTTTCGCCAAAGAAACAACAGATAACTGCGCTTCCTGTCACCAGACATAGGGTAACAAAAAATCTTTTTCTGTTTTTTCTTTACTTGCTTTTCATTTTTATAAATGTTTTAACCTTCGTATAAACAAAATTTTAGTTCTCTAAGAGTTTGTCCCGTACACCTTCACCATTTAAGAAGACAGAAGACATTATTGCAGCTGCTAAGTTAAAACAAACTTCAAAGTATGTACACACATATATATATATATATATATATATATATATATATATATATCTTTATTGTATATATGTGCATAATGACATAATATTTTAATTGTAGAGAAGATTCTAAGGCAGAATCACCAAAAATAGGCGAACCAAGTCTAGCATCTGGCGACGCTTTTCTGTTGAAAAAAGATGAAAGAACAACTAAATCTGGTAAACCTACATCGGAAGAGAAGAGAACTGGCCAAAAGTCTATTGAAACAATAGCACCGAAAAAACCACTTGATTCTATAAAACGAGTAAAAAGAGATAAACGAGATGGATCTACGGATTCTGATGATAGTGATACCGAAGGTAAAGAATAAATTAAATTTCATTTTACAGGAGAATTCATTTTTATCTTTTTATTATCAATTATATAAATGAATTTATAGGGAAAAAGAAGGTAAAGAAGATAGATAGGTCTAGGAAGTCTAGAAAAGTTTCTTCCGATGAAGACAAATCTGACAAGAGCAAGGCAGGTTCTAGTTCAGAATCTGAAGATGACAGGAAACATCTAGACAAAAATAAAAAGAGAGATTTAAGTCGGGGAGGTAAGATCTAGATCAATATTTATTTTCAAATGGATATATATACATCGTTAGGATAATATACTTATACGAGTTTTGTTTATTAGATTCAATAGATGATCGAAGTAAAGATAGAAAGGACAATAGAAAACGTGAAGTAGTTGAAAGTGAATCACGAAAGCGTACCACGAAAAAGGAAATAGAGGAGGAAATAAAAAAGGCGAAGAGATCTAGAAAAGATTCTTCGTCTGGAGAAGAAGATACAAAATCAAAAAGAACTAAAAATGAAGATGACAAGTCGAGGTCAAGAAAGTCTAAGAAAGATTCAAGTTCCGACGACGAACCGAAAAAATCGAGGAAAAGAAGAGATAGTTCTTCCGAGGATGAAAAAACTAGAACGCGAAAAACAAGGAAAGATTCAACCAGTGATGAGGAAACGAAAACAAAATCGAAGAAATCTAAACGAGATTCGAGCACGGACGATGAAGATATTGCGGAAAAAGATATGAAGAAGAAGCGGAAAATTGATGATAGCTCTGACGAGGAGAAAGTTAAAAAGAAACGTAAGAAAAAGACAAAAACTAGTACAAGTGAATCAGAGGTAGGTATTTAAATATAATATTGTAAAATATAATAATAATTATTATTATTATTTTTTGTAAATTTTTTGTAAATTCGATTTATACAGGAAAGCGAAATAGAGGAAAAGAAAAAGAAGAAGGATAAAAAACATAAGAAACATAAGAAACACAAGAAACATAGAAAACATAAAAAGAAGAAGGTCGCGGATTCTGACGAATCTGATGTAAGTGAAGGTAATACGGAAGAGTTAGAAAAAAAACTTCGGGAGAAAGCATTAAAATCCATGAAAAAAGGACATAGTATTGAAAGAAGTGATTGAGATTGTGTCGTATCAAAGATCGTGTTACCTAACGTGTATTCATACCACAATGTACTTGATCAAATTGATGAATTGTCTTATGAATGACTTTTCCTGTTATTACTGGAAAGGAAGCTAGGTTTCATTACACATTGAATTTATTCATTATGAAACCAGTTTCTAATCCGTGCACTGACATGTCATTTAACAAGTAATTCAATCGTATAGTTCTTATCGTATACTTTAGAGAGTGCGTATTTTTATTTTGATTTTCATTATTGATATTACCAAAAGATACTATAAATAATTTCATAAGTTGATACAAAAGATGAATACATCAGTACATTATTACATTTAAACATAGCTATTTTTTTTGTCCTTGAAGGACGCAATACCTCCTATACACCTCCAAATTTTAACAATATTAAGATATATAGACACATGATGTGTCAAGCTAGAAAACTGTTTACTTTTACTTTATCCGTATCACGAAGCAGTTTACACGTGTCTTATACCTAATTTTAAGCGAATTGTTTCTTGTTACATAGCACCGCTGCGATGCAAGATTTATAACTTATTTTCATTTGTGTAGTTAGTTTCTCTCAAGAAATTTGCATTTAGAATATAATAATTTATATATTATATAATATTATTTCTACTGTACAACTTGAAAAATGAAGATATTTTGGTGTCGCCTTCTATTCTCATTCGACAACCTTTACTTTGTAATAATTATAAATTTTGTCTAGACTTTGAAAGTCGTCATATCGAATTTGTACGTGATGTAATTTACTTTATAATTCACACATGCGCGCGCGCGTATTCCTCTTAGTATTTGAAATATATCATTTTGAAAAAAGTGTTATTAATTTGACAATTTATATAATTATTAAATTATTTATTATATCTTACATTAATATATACAACTATCTATATATTTATACATGACAATTTACATTTTAAGCAGCATAGATTCCCAATCTGGAGAACATACTAATGTACTATTAATTGTTCCGAGATTGATAAGTTCACCATTCAGTTTAACTGTATCTAGTTTTGCAGCTAGAAGATCCTAAAATAGTAATGAATTTTTAATTTACTTAATCTCGCAGATTACTTTTTATAGCATAAATTTATAAATGATTACTTGTCGAAAACTCAAATTGGATCCAATATCTACAATTAGATTGTTTTCACCTATACATAAACGTGCTTTTCCAGATTTTAATATTTGTAATTTTCCAAGCATACCAGCTTTCAAGCTACTTAAAGTGCAATAATTCTTTTTGGTACTATCTTTACTTTCTCTTTCTTGCGTTGTATCATTTGCATGCTTTGATTTTGGTGGATTAGCATCATCATTTGATTCTAAACCTGGCAAGCAATCTGGAAACTACAATTAAATAATTAACTAATTATTAATAATATTTCTTTATATTATTCAAACTAAATTTTACAATACCTGCATTAACATATAGGAATGTGGTTTGTTTTCAATAATTTGCGATAAATTGTCCAATTGATATGGCTTCTTAGATTCGCTTTTTATAAGTGTTTCTTTTTTAATTTCTTTCTTTGGTTTCATTACTGTAAATTCATATTTTATAGCAAATACGTTATGATAATAAAATAACATGTTGCATTTTGCTTACCAGTGCCATTTTCTAAAATGATAGGTTTTTGATCTATTTCTTCATTGTCCGAAATACTATTTTCATGCTTAAATTCCGTTTTATATAATTTCCCTATAATTATAAAACAATAATATGTTATAATTCTATTTATTTTTATATTATTGTCATATCAAAAGAATCATACCCTCTAAAATCATAGGTAATATGACAGGAGCATTTTCAGTATCCGGCTCTGTACCATCATCGATAAAATCATCCTTTAATAATGCTTTTAGTTTTCGTTCTTCTTCATCTTTATCAATATCACGGTCCAAATTTAATTTTGGTTTTTCTATAAAAACTTTTCTATCGCAATCACTGTATCTATCTCCTCCTTGTCCCTTAGATCTTCTACCACCTTGGGTGTCAGTTGCACCTTGAGAAAATACACCAGAAGTCTGTGGGTATAAACAAATAGAAATAAAATATATTACATCATAGAAATTTGCTTCATCAAGAAATAACTAATGTTATGAGATATACCTGGATTAGATTATTAGAACCTCTGCCTCGTCCACGATCCGATCCACGTCCTCTTCCTCTGCCTCTTTGCTTAGATGATTTTTCAGTATCGCTTTTATTTACTACTGTTTCCCTAAAAACAAACTATAGTTTCATTGTTGTTTAAGTAATAATATTTTTAAATATAAAAGAAAAGAATGGACTTACTCTTTCTTTTTATTTCGTTGAGCATTAAAATTAGGTACATAAACTTTTTTCGGTTTTTCAGTCTTAATATTTCCACCTAGAGTTAAATCACGTGGTAACCTAAAAGAAGTCAATCGTGTTGTCGTGGGTGAAACTCCTGGTTCAGTTTTAATATTTCTGAGAGGCACTGGTAAAGAAGTTCCCGGTTCAATTTTAATTCGAACATTTTCTGGAAGTGTGTGATTTTTATCGCGGAATTTATCAGAAGCCATTTCTAATGATTCTAACAATTTCGTTTGCGTTGACTATTATCTTTGACACTCATGCTTTTGCCAAGCGGCCATTATTGACCAATGCCAACCGTACAAAAGTACCAAAGTCTTATATGTACACTGTTACCAATCATAAAAATAAAAATTTCTTGCTGATTAATTACTTGAATATTGATCATCTTGATTTAATATATTTTATTTGAATATTATATAAATAATATAAAATCGTAAATTTTAATTTCCATTTTTATGTGAAAAATATTTAATATTATTCTAGTATAAATATAAAACAATTTTAAAGAATTGAATCTTTCTATATTTTGATTTGAAAAAATAAGTTATTAAAATATTACTATGTTTTTTATTTTGAATAAGAAAATCTAAATTTTGTTCTTATAACAAACGATTTAGGTCTTATATGAAAATGTATGATTTAAATATTGCTTGTTTACGCGGGCAAAGTTGATAACCAATAAAGTTGTAGCTGTCACAATATTTTCGTTATTTTGCGCGGCAATAAGGCAGCCATTGTAATCATGTTGCAAGATGAATACTACATTTTACAGATTTTCTGCTATGCAATCATCAATATCATAAATTTTTCAACAGAATCATATCCGGAATCATGCTTGAAATCACAGGTAATGAAATTTATTTATTTCATAATATTTTTCAATTTTTAACTGAAAACAAATATCTGGCAGTTATCAAATTTTTACGTTTATTTTACCGTGTTTAATTATTCGAGCATTTGTAAATTATGTTATATAGATATATTTTTAATGAGTTACATATGTTTTATATAATCGATGATAAGAAGAAAAAAAATATCAAAAAGTCTAAGATAAGATGAAAATAAATACAATATGCAACTGACAAACCTATTTCCTTGAAGAATATTTTCGAAATTATTTTGCAGAATGGGAAGTATATTTTTTTAATATAAGTCATTTCTCTCAAGAGACACCTTTCTCTCTCTCTCTCTCTCACTTCCTCTCTCTCTCTCTCTTTTTCTCTCTTATGACATTTAGATATATTAATATTCCAGCTGTTTTGAGAATTATTTTATAATTACAACAATCATTTTATAATTTTAATGCACACAGCATTTATTATAAATGTCGAATTACACATATCTAACCATATAGGGCAAATTTGAAGTAGTATTATCAATAAGAAGTAGTATTATCAATAAGAACTTGCAAGAACATAAGAATTTCAGTAAGAGAGATTATTAAGTATACAAAAAAAAAAAAAAAGATTTATTTGGTAAGTTTTAATATTGACCGAATTGTAATAATAAAATTTGTGATATTATGAGAGAGTTAGGTGAACGTAGGCGGGGTAATAGGATGAATGTTTTTAGGACGATCAGTAGTATTTAGCAGGCAAGCAGGCAAGAGAGCGAGCAAGCAGGTAAGCAAGCAAGCTGAGCAGAGAGGCTGACTGAGTAGACTAAGCAGGAGCGACATAGGGGATAGGAGAGTATAGATACATATAAGACGGTGTGCGCGATGAGGTCATCGCGTGGTTTTTTAACCGCGCCGGCAGTCGTGAAGCAGACCGCTTGAAAGCCGGCTGCCTTACGTTCGTTTCTGCTCTCTCGTGATTTTTCTAACTCTGTGCCACGTGCCCGAGAGTTTCGTTCTTTACCTCTTTTTCCATTATTTTTTTTTTTCTTCTATTTTTTACGTTCGCGAGTTCGAGAAATACTTTGATATTGAATTCTTGTTTCTTTAAACTAAGAAAAATACAAAGCGTCATATTTTAATAAATGTCGTCTTTTTATCATCGTCTCGCGAATCCTGATTCCTAATCGAGCTATCGCCCTGGACAACAAATTTTCATTAACGGATTACGATCGAGCAGATCCACGAGTCATAAAATCGTTATACACCGCTAGACACATGACCGATTTAAAGTTCGACCGGTCGGTACGTTTCTTAAACCTGTTTTAACTTCTCCTCTCTTTCTCTCGATTATTGTATACATCGGTGAGTGAATTTTCGAATAGCCTAATTGTAGTGAGTCAAATCGTTTTTGCATTGCCCCTTTCGATTGTGTGTGATTTGCTTTTTTTTCTGTTTCCTTTTTTCTTTTTTTTTTTTTCTTTTTTTTTTTTTTTTTTTTTAATTTTCTAATCGATCTATGTGTCTGTTTTTCTGTTGGCAGATCAAACGACGAACGTCTCTGAGCTGCTATAGATTATATTTTAACAACTTGCCTGTTTTTAATTTGGAAGTTATGAAGAAGGTAAAGTTTGTTAAAAGAAACAGAATTAATCTGTTTACGTTTGTAAAAACTGACTCTAATTGTCGACTAGACAGATAAACATGATGTTTTTCTAATCTTTCGTGTATTCTTCACGTGCATAAATATGGGAATGTAGGAGTAATAGGAATTTTTGTTGTGGAATTAATTTAAAGATCCTTATAGAGAATACAGAATATAAGCTAATCACAAACAACAACGAAAGTTTTCTTGTCAATGTTTTCTTATATACGCGATAACAGCTTCTCTTCTTTCTTATGTATCCTACTTATATACCGCTATGTATTCTTTTTTACATACAGGTTTTCCGTTACCTCTCTTTCTTTCTCTCTCTCTCTCTCTTTCTTTCTCTCTCTCTTTCTCTCTCTCTCTCTCTCTCTCTCCCTCTCTTTCATTAGCAAGGAATTAAAAAGTAAAATCGAAGTATAGTTCGTACGGTATGTTTTGGTTGCTGTTCGCTGGAATGGAAATGTTTTGTCGCGTAGGCGTAACGATTTATAAGGAGGATAAGGACAAGCGATTTGAAATTTATGCGTTTACAGTGGTAAACAATTATCAGTCATTAACGTTGGTATTCCATTATCTCTTTTTCTCTCGCTCTTTCTCTCTCTTTTCCTCTGTCTCTTTCTATTACATATTTTTTTAGAAGTTAAATTTCTCTTTTGAAATGCATTATTATTTACAATTCGAATTGAAAATAAAAATATTGAACGTCATGTGAATATCAACAAAATTGATTAAACAATCTTGTTTCTTTTTCTTTTTCATTTTATTATTATTATTTAAATATTTTATATCGATTTTATGCGCTTATGGTGGTAAACAATTTATCTGCCATTAATATTGGTATTTTAATCTTTTTATTTCTCTCAATTATATATATTTGTTTGAAATTAATTTTCTATTTCAAAATGCATGCTTTTTTATAGTTCACATTGAAGTATTAGTGTTATGTATAAATCAAAAACATTGATCACATTTTTAATGAATATATGTATACATATATATATATATATATATATATATATATATATACATATATATACATATGTATCTGAGTAGGATCAAAGATCGAAGAATGATTTTTCTCATTTCAGCGAGTCTATGCGCACGCACACGTCGCTCGATGTCGATAGCTTTCCAGCCGAGCTCATCGATTTCGATCGAAGAGGGTGGAGGAGTTGGAGGAGGAGCTGGAAGAGCTGGAGAAGGAGGTGGAGGAGGAGGAGGAGGGGAAAGAAAAAGAGGATGCAGCGGTAGCGTAGATCGAAACGAAGCGCGCTTTACAAAGTTCGATTTTACAACGAGAAGGAAAACATTGCATCGTTGACAACGAATCTATCAAGAAATTTCAATTTTTTTTTGCTGAAAGGAAAAAAAAAGCAAAGATTGGAATATTACGAACGTTTCGAAATCGTCGAAAGATGAATGGAGTTCGACGGACGACCATCGACGCTTTCGATGCTAAGGTAATAATAAATTTATATATTTTTTTTTATTTGTATTCACAAAATAGACCGAAAGAATTCCTAGATGGGCCAAATGATCTTAGATAATTTTAAAAATCAATTACTCCTTTTAGAGTAAATCTTTTAGGCTAATTTTGTCTTCAGATTATAAAATTACTAGATTTGTTTGTAAAATTACAAGCTTAACTACAAGTCTAAAAAGTCTCAAAAAGGAATAATTTTTATTTAAAGCCATCTAAAAAGTTTTTCGCTACGTAAGAACTTTTGAACTACCTTATATTTGAGTGATTGTGATAACTTTTATATATCTAGTTTAAATATGTAAATTGTTTAAAGAAAAGAGAATTTTTTAAGTTTGATTATTTCTATCACTTTATTATCCATTTTCTTCGAAATATATATATATATATATATATATATATATATATTTGATCAGAAAAATAAAATGTATATAAGGTCAACACATAATAGCTTTAGTAATTATGTGATCTTGGTGATCTTGCTTCACCTAATTGTAAAACTTCGAATCATCATAAAAAAAGAAATTTTTAAGCTTGATTATTTCTATTTCATCATACATTTTTTTCGAAACAGATTCGACTAGGAAAAAAGAATATAAATACATATATATATATTTTATATTTTATATATATATATATATATATATATATATATATATAGGTATATATCAAAGACGAATACAGTAATTATGTTACGCAATGTAATTAATTCTCTGTCTCTTTCCTTCTTGAGAAAGATCTTACGCATCGAAGGCCCAAGAGACGTAAGCGATTCTCTAAGTCGTGGTCTCTGCTTCGGGTACTTTCTGTCTCCGAGCTAACACGAGTTCGTAGAAGTGTGTGCGTCGAACGGAACGTGTAATTAGGTGTCTTAACGCGCCGAGATCGGTTGACCGATCCGATAACGTGCGATACATAAGTATATCCTTTGGTTATGGCTATGAGATTCAATGCGTCGAACTTTTCACTGGTAGAGTTAGAAATGAAATACGTTACTACCTTATCGAATAGACAGAGTTCCTAATACCTTAGGACATTTGAAAAATTATAGAAAAGATTAATGATTACAAAAACTATTAATTTTGTAGTATAATAGTAGTAATGATGACAGATATCAAACTATATAATTACAATATAAATTATCAAATTATTATTGCTGTGATATTTATATTATTTTTTCTTTTTTTATATATAGGTCAATTTTTTTGTATATAGGTCAAGCTTTCATACGATTAACCTAATAATATTTAATAATAACGTAAATATAGAAATATCTATCTAAGCGTTAGTATTTGCAAATGTTAGAAATAACAAAAGTAGTTATTTTAAAATTGAAATAATATTTTAGCGGATTACTACGTACCTATGTATCTATGTAAATATGTCCGAGGCCGGGGAATAGCTCATTCGGTTCCATACGGGTACGTTGCTCGCATATTATTAAGCCAATAGTAGAATTATTAATTTAGTATCTGACCATCGTTCGTACTCTTTCGCAATATTCTCTTCCTGTGTCTCGTCGTAAAATAACGTCGTAGCTTAGCAGCAAGTTAGCTTTCCGCAACGTCGATACGACCGTCGGTTGGTCGAGGGTTTTAGCTTATGAAGTGTCAAGTTATGTATATCTTTGATGATGGATCGTAGTGTATGTTAAAGTTATTCTTACTGGTATGATTATAATTTGTTTTTGAATTTGATGAATGATATATATATATATATATATATATATATATATTTTCTACTTTTTATTTAATGTAAAGGATCTCGTGTTTATGCAATTAATGCAAAACTCATATTTGCACTTCGTAACATTTTCTATTACGAAACTACGACGAATAACTAACACTTAGTAAAAATAATACGTCTTTTTATGTTTTAAAACTAATTAACTCGAAAACTTTATTTTACTTTACTTTGGTGTAGTCTACATTAGTCGAAGTAATTTCGAAAGATCAAGAAATAGAATTGTGCCAATGCTACATCGCGATTTCATTTATGGCCAAACGAGTTCTCGCACGATAAAGGCTAGGAAGAGAGAGAGAGAGAAAGAGAGAAAGAAAGAGAAAGAGAGAGACAGAGAAAGAGAGAGAGAGAAAGAGAGAAAGAGAGAGAGAAAAAAGGGAGAGAAAGAGAGAAAGAGAAAAAGACAGACAGAGAAAGAGAAAGAGAGAGAGAGAGAGAGAGAGAGAGAGAGAGAGAGAGAGAAAGAGAGAGAGAGAGAAAGAGAAAAAGAGAGAGATTATTGAACGTGAGAACTAGAAAATTAATGTCGCGAGAAGCTTATGATAAAAAATTTCAAAGTATACATAAATTTAATTGTATAGTGATAACGCATATGAATTTTGTCATTTCTTTTGAAAAATAAGTTACGAAACTCAGGAAATATTAACGATCAATTAGTAGAGAAATTATTAGAGTTAATAAATTTTGCGGACTTCCACGTGTTTGACATTGCAAAGATTTCAATTAATGTCGATTCTGTATCAATTGAAGTAATTACCTAACGATGGCAAAACGATCACAACCTCAATGCATTTTTTAAACTTTTCTCTTGGCAAGGACAATATTAAAGACAGTCGTAAAGCTTCTTCGTGTATAGATATTCTTGATTTTCCATCGTAACAGCTATTCGCGACGGATATACTGGCGCACCTTCCATCAAACTAAGTAGATTCACTTTGCGATGTGATATTGTCATAACGGAAGTTATACGTATGGTCAGTTTCGTTTTGGTATTGCGTGACAGTAAGCAATTCTTGGATCCCCTTTGGATTTCTTGCGTGACAGGGTTGTTATAGAGCGTTCTTTTTTCTCCCTTTCTGAACACTCTGAAAACCTTGGGCAATCCTAAAAAATAATCGTAATTGAACGCACTCTTTGCATTAGATTAAGCTGTGCCTCGTAATAGGAAGAAAAATTCAACCCTCCTGTATACGTGTTTGCAAACGAGGTGGATCGATGATCTCAAATCAGCCTCTCTTCCTTTTTATATACCTATGTAGTTTCTTTATTTAGCATTACGAGGACAAATCGGATTTCTATATGTCCTTCTTACATAGGTAATAGTTCATAACTGAAATAGAAATAGAATGTAAAAGTGGTTCATTCGTTTATATATACACATACACACATACACATATGTGTGTATAAACGAATGAAGCTATATTGAATATATATATATATATATATATATATATATATATATATATTTTCATTCAATATAGCTTCATTCGATATATATATATATATATATATATATATATATATCGGACACACCCAACAGGTTGTATTCGAACAGATCGACCAAAAGTATTAATAATGTATCCTAACGGTTTGTAGAAGTTTATTGATAATGGGAGTGAGGTGTAACGTGAATGTTACTTTCTCGAGGTAATACGTGATAAATTCCGTTTCACTTTCTTTGTAATCGGTGATAAGTAGCGATAACCCCGCAGCTACGTGAAGTGGTAGAGATCAGATAATTATCAGCAAATATCCTTGACGGTTCTCTCCCTTTCTACTACAATTCTATATTTTTCTATTTTAATAATCAATGATTAGAGTGATAGTAAGTAGATTTATTAAATAAATCATATAGATTTAAGTACCATAGAATGATTTCAAATCTAATCAGGATGTTATGAATCAGTCATGGTTCCTGTTTACGTCAAGGTCACATCAATTTATTTAGTAAATTAGGTCAATCGCTTTGAAGAGATGAATCACAAGAAAAGATTCAGCCTCGAGTATTTAATATGTATAGCTTTATAACAATGAAAACTCGAACGTTTCTCTTGAAAGGTGCAGGTGACAAAGGGGAGAAGGGAATGCACGCGTGCGCATGCCTCATAGGGTGCACCGAAAAGCATCGTGCGACTATAAGCACGCGTGACACAATCGTTCGGGAATGTCAGTAGTGTTGGACGTTGTTAGGTTCTCCTGATCTGTGTATAGTAGTACATACGTATATGGTGCGTATGTATATATAATTTTTATAAATGTATACAATATATATATATGTACATATCCATGGAGAGTGAATGCAATTTCTCCTACTGTTAGTTCTGCATATAGGAAAATTTTTTTCAAGCTTGCTAAGGAAATCTGTCCACGTAAATATATATATATTGTTTCTTGGTTTATATCATTAGCTTTTCTGTTTTCTTTTTTTTTTTTTCTTTTTGAGGGGAAAAAAGGAGAAGAAAAATATTTCATTGAGATGATTAAATCATTCTCAATAAGAGGATATTTTCGAGTCTGTTATTAGTTGTGTAGAATAATAATGAGATAATGAATTGAAGGATAAACAAATCTATCAATTCGAAGTATGTATATTTTGGTTAATAGATGACTGAATATTTTGATTTGCCATCTTTGTTGATACCAAGAACGGATTGTTATTCGTATTGCGTTCAATTTAGACGGAGTTTGTGATAAGGAACAAAATGATGTCACTTCCGTACGTCTGACATCATTGAGTCGACGGCTCAATGTCATTGCCTGCTTTCAAAATAATCGCTGCCCACTAGATACCAGTGTTGTTTTCATAAGTGGGGAGGACCTTGATGTCGCAGTCCCTAAAGTCACGACGAAGTTTTTTTCTTTTTTTGGTTTTTTCTTCTTTTTTCTTCTTTTTTTTTTCTTATCCCAACTGTGACATATTTGCGAGGGCGTAAAAAATATCGATTTCCACGAAAAATTCGATTATTCTTATCATTTATAATCGAGTTTCTTTTATTCATCTTTTAAAGTACACATGTCAATGTAATCCGCAAAAAATTTTATTGGATTGAATTTTGAATGTGTATTTTTTTATTTGATCGAGCAATACGTCAAGATATTCAACGTTACAACGTTATACCTATTTGCGTGATGAAATATAAATAGAGAGTGAAAAAAGAAGAACGTACGTAGAATAAATATAATTTATATAATTAATTATATTATCGATCGATTTTGTTAATCATAGATTTCTATAGTACCGACCTTTGGTATAACCAATTTTTTAATGATACTTTTCATTTCCGCGGGATGTCGCTTCAAGTTCGCGGCAAAATTTAATTTCTACTTGGGTAATTATTATTGACATAATTAATATATTATAAAAGTATATATAGGTAGATATCTCTTTCGAAATAAATTTATTTATCAATTTTTCATCTTATATTTACCACAAGTTTAAACAAAATGAATTAATTTTTTAATCACTATCCACATAGCTATCATTGAAAACTACAAAGGTAGACGTTCATAAGGGGCCATTGCGAATCGACGAGGTCAGCGGTCTGATATGTATGTATATACGTTCAATACAAAGATTCCGATAACAGTCTTATAGTTAGCAGTAGCGAAAGAAAGCATATTCTCCGACCTCGCCATTCTCCGATGGAACGAGAAGGCCTCCAATGACTCACTACCATATTACGAGAAGCAGAACAGTTGTGACATGGACCGCTAAATGCTTACCAGCGAAACCGTTAAATTCAATTAGAGCGTTACTTTCTTTCTCTCGTTTACTACGTCATACATTTCTAAGTAACTGCTGTTTATTTATTTTTCATCGTTTTTTTTCGATTTCAACGTTTATAAATATTAATTTTATGCACTATAGTAAACCGTTAAAAAAGATCTTTTGTCTATCTTTTTCTTGTTGAATAAATGATCTCTCTTTTTTCTTTCTTTTTTATCTTTTTTCTTTTTTTTTTTGATTAAAAAATTTGGATAAATAAACGAAAAGGTTGCGATAGCATTTGGAATATGTATTTATTTAATTATATAGATACATACATAGATATATTGGTTTTTACCTACGTACCTTCGAATGATTATCCTCGCCATTTCGGGCGAAAAGGTCGGTGCGTACGTGAGGCCCCGTTCACCGCCTCGTGGTCGCGTGGTCGCGTGCTCGCGTGGTCGCAGCCTCTAGACGTTTATAAACGCTATATAAAAGGCGGGGGCGTACTTACAGGACCTTGCCACGACCCACACTCAGGGCTGTATCTCAAGCTTTTCCAAAAAGTTATCATACTTGTACCTTATCCTGTTTAAAAGTCCTGTTTATTTCATAAATTACATACTTACGTTTATTTTCTCTATAACGTCATGTAAATTTAAGATCGAACACTCGTTTATTTAATCATTAATAATTAATGTTTCATATTATTTTTTACTTTTATTTTATTTTTTGACACAAAAAAAATGTTCAATTTCGTCTTCTTTAGTTATCTCGTTATTTGTCGCCTAACTTTCTTCGTTTGATTAATCCAGCAAAATGATCGTTTATTCTTTTTATTTACATAGACATTTTTATTTGGCAATTAATAGATTGTTGGAAATAATTTAGTTATTTCACCGATAAGCAAACAGCTGGTCAAGCAAACTGGAATTCATATACACGTATTTATTCTTTTTCTCTCGTCACGTTCGAGCGAACAGCCATTCGATATAGTCGATCGAATTTTTGCACGTTTCTTCTTTGGAACGTACGAAAGCCGATGATTTTTCCAGCTTTTCGCTTTCTAAACGTTTATATCCGTTCATTCTACTCCGTGTTTCATGATTTTCCGTGACAATTAGAAAAGTCAAATTCATTTTTTTTTTTTCAATTAGAAAAGAAACTAATTCTTAGCCTTCGAATAATAATTTAACCAGTTGATGAGTTATTTAGATGGATCGTAGAAGTAAGGAGGATTGTAGAAGTAGAACTCTTTAGTAGTGTTCAGTAGACAAGAGGGAGTCGAAACAGGAAGCAGGGTGCGCCTTCCGTTGAAGAGTCACCTGCTGTTCTATTTGAAATAGATGTTCTCAAAATAAAATTACGATGTTCAAATGAAACCATGTTACTATATAATAACGATTACGAATTGAACAAATTTTACATATAACTATGATATATTTTAATATTCCAATCATCCTTTATGTATTCATTATCACGGCATATTTACGATGTTCAAACGAAACTATACTACTATACGATAATAAACTAGAATTAAATAAATTTGTACATATAACTCCGATATATTCTTATATTTTAATCATCTTGTAAGCGATCTTGAAAGAAAACTACATTTGTATTGATGTTCAAATGAAATCACGTTACATTAGGATAGTAATTATTAATGGCTGTTATTTATTAGATTAGTATTTTTAAACATTTAGTCAGTATTTATAATAAAATATCAGTATGCATAATACAAGTAACGCAACCCTGACGCAATCCTAATTTAATTATTTATTAATATTTATACTGAATAAATATTATTCATCCCTGATTAATTATTTATACTGAACAAAATATACATATATATTTAACATTTATTTTACAAAATACTTATCATTAATTAATAATAATACTGATCAAATAAATAGAAGTGATTATTAATTAGCTAAACTTATACATATAATTTCAATATATTAGAATATTTTAATCATCCTTTAGTCGTTTTTATAATTTGACTACGACGTAAAAAAGAAACTATGTTATAATAATAGAATAGTAATCATTGATTAGATAACATTTTAGGTAGATCTATTTTCATATTAGAATTTTTATCATACTTTAGATGCCATTCTCACAGCATAACTATGATGTTCAAACGAAACTGTGTTATAGTAAGATAATAATCGTCGATTAGATAAACCTGTGCATATACTTCCGATAAATCCTAATATTTTAATCATTTTCGTGTTTCGTATTGGCGTCGTCAGGGCAAACGTGGAAATAAATAAAATAGAATGAGACAGGGTAGGGATTGAGATGTGGAGGGGAATTGACCTTGCCTCTCAGCAATGGGATGCGATGCGATGCGATGCGATCCGATGAGAAAGAAAGAGAGAGAGAGAGAGAAAGAGAGAGAGAGAGAGAAAGAGAGAGAGAGAGAGAGAGAGAGAGAGAGAGAGAAGAGAGAAAGATGGAGGAGGAAGGGAGAAGTGGAGAGGAGAGTAGGTGAGGTGAGACGAAGCGAGGCGAAGCGAGACGATGGTAGGAACGAAGTCTCGAAGGGAGGCAAGGGTATTCCCTGAGGTGGCTTCGACTTTCCATTTCTGGTATATGGCGAATCAGCAGCATATAGAGTGAACTAAACGAAAGAGTATTTCGAAGAATACATTCTCGTAAGCTTTTCGATCGAGAAAACGAAAAAGAAAAGAAAATAACAATAACATCAACAATAAAAAAAAGAGAAGAAGAAAAAGAAACAAAAAAGAAATAAGCAAGCTTACGAATCAGCGACGCGTGTTTTAAGACTTACCTTTCTCCGCAATTTCTCTGACTCGCTCTCACCATTTTGTATTCTTTTTCCACGCGTAAGTAAACCTCCTAAATGTCTTTCGTTCGGACTACTTTGACTAAAGATGAGATTCGAATACGATCCTCTAGGCAAGAAACGTACAGCTACCTCGTGGAACTCGTCGACACGAAGGATATATATATATATATATATATATATATAAAATATAAAAAGAAAAAAAAGAACGAGTTCTTCGCCGCAGAGTGAAATTTAATAACTGCTCTGCATCAGGCTTCTCGACGAAGCTCTCTTCTCTCGAGATACAACCTTTCTCTCTATTTCTCTCTCTTCTTTCTCTTTCTCGTAATCGTGTCTTCTTAAATTGTCGAAAGAGAAGAAGTGGTAAGCGTTTTCAGGAAGACAGAGGGATAGTATTCTGAACTGTCGACAAGGTCGAGACACTCTCTTTCTTTCTCTTTCTCTCTCTATCATATATGGCAAAAGGTAGATTCATCAGCGAATTAACGGGAGAATCGAGTGGCCCGTCTCTTTTCTCGAGGAGGACCACAGAACGGAGGCCGCCTACGGAGGTGGTGGTGGTTCTGTGCGGAGGTTGCCGTGTTGGCAAAGGAAGAGAGGGGGAGTACTCCCTCTCTCCGATACTGGGGAGAAAAAGAGAGAAAGAGAAAGAGAAAGAAAGAGAGAGAGAGAGAGAGAGAGAAATAGAGAGAAAGAGAGAGAAACACGCTCTCCTCCGGTGCACACTCTCGCGGTGACTTCGACCGGCAAAGTGCTCGCGTTCGTGAAAGTCCACAGACGACTTTCAGGGTCGTCTGCTTGGCTCCTTAGCACAAGCTCTCCTTCTCGTTCGCTCTCTCGATCTTTTCCTCGGTTCGTCCGGAACTGACTGTTTTGTGAAAAAGGAATCATCGCAACGAGCTAAGATCGTCGCACTCGTAAGAACGATTTGTAACGCGACGTACCTACCGGTTGGATCTTTTAGATCTACACTCTGTTGCTCTCTTTGATTATTTATTCATCGCGATCATCAGACGGAAGCAAGAATCGTATATTATTGGTGTTGTATGAATAGAGAAGAAGAAGAAGAAGAAGAAAAAAAAAGGAGGGGGAAGATAGACCGTAATAGAAGGTCATCAAACATTTATTTACATTAGTAAACGAAATGAGTTCGCGCCTTCGAAGTTCTTCAATGTCGAAGGACAGACCAAAAGCAACGTCATTTGGAAGCGATACATTTTATTACGAGCCGGAAGAACGAAATGATAAAAGGAATGGCAAAGCGGCGCGGGAAAATAGTTATCGCTTTGGAGATTTTCGTAGGGAGTGTTCTGAGAGAAATGGTAGACGGTTCGGAGAAGAAATCGAAGAGGATCCAGATATTCTTTATAAGAGAAGCAAGGATCGGTTTGCATCATGGGATATGAAAGATATAGCTGGACGTAAGGAAATAAATGAAAAGAAGAAGGAAGATGAGGAGGCGGAGGAAGAGGAGGAAGAGGAGGAAGAGGAGGATGATGAAGATGTGAATGATAACAATGATAAGCCACCGTTGCTTTACGAGGAATACGTCCCAAGTCCGAGAAAAGAGAATCAGAAAGAAAAGATTATCAATCGAGAAATACACGGATCGAGAAAAGACGAGACGAGGAAGAATGAAGATTCCTCGGAAGGAGTCGATTCACGAAATTATATGTTCGCGGAGTCCTCGGCTGTTCGAAGAAATGGTGAGAACCGAAAGAAAACGAGTTTTCCTAGTATCGATGTACGAACGGATACAGATCATAGGATCGGAGCCATGATCGAACGATTGAAAACACGCGAAGAGGATAAGTTGAGAAATAGAAGAGAACGGGGAAGTCCGGAGAGAGGGGGGGTTATTTCGTCGACGATCGAGGATCGTCGTCAACGTCGACGTCGACGTTGTCTCGTCGACGAAGAGCTTGGAAATCGTCAGGAGGATGATACAAAAACGTCTGTTGGTTACGATCAACGTTTCGATGATTTCTGTAAATCGAATAGAGGCGAGGAAACGCGCGTGGATCGTAGAAGATCGAGGAGTATCGAGAAAGTTTCCAGGTATGAATTAGGCCGTGCAAGGAGTAACGACGCGAATGGTTTTCGAGAGTTAGACGAGCGAATTCCAAGATACATGCTTCGTGAAGCCGAGTCTCATGTTCGCGAGGAGATGTTTGGGTTGAACGTCGACGACAATGTTCGACGTATAGAAGGTAGACGTGCGCCCTTCGATAGGGACAACGACCGTCGAGAGAAGGAGAATTCTTCGAGGAAGAGCCAAGACGCGTACGTAGTCGAAATCACTCGTAGACGATCAAGATCCAAGGACGTCGAGGAGGATCGAGCTCGTACGAAGGACGAGACGAAGAGTAGTAATAGTAGTAGTACTACTCGTCCATATGAAGTATTGCCCGGGGAATTTGATGTTAGAATACAGAGATATGAAAGAGCAACAGTCGAAGATAAGAGGGATCAAGAATATTTAAAAAAAAATCTTCACGATCCTTCGAAGGAGAGAGAAACGGTTAGGAAGATTTCTTTCAGCGGAGACACGGATATGTATTCACAAAGGATGCATTCGAAGAAAGAGATCGGTATAACGAGGAGAACGTCTTTCAAGGATCAGGATAATGAGATACGAGGACGGAATTCATTCAAGAACGATTCAGATGGTGGAATTAAGTGTACGATAAAGAGTCGAAAGAGTGACGTCACCGAGAGGGAAAAGACCGAATTGGTAGATAGTGTCGATTTAGGAAGAAGGAGTTCTTTCAAAGCGAAACATCCTGAGTATGGTAAAATCTCATTTGAGGAAGAAGAGAAAGAAAAAAGATCGTCGAGAGATCATACACGAGTCTCTAATGCAAGAATAATATCATTCGGGGATGATAAAATTGTTGGGGAAAGAAAACGGACTCCTGATAATCAAGATCGTGGAATAATTACCAGTATCTCTTTCAAGGACGAAAACTCCGTCGAATCGACTACGAGTCCTATACGTCGAGTCTCGAAAGAACAGAGAGAAAACGTCTTAGGTAGACGAATTTCTTTTAAGGATCGAGGGATCGAATCTGAGAGGGAACATTCTTATGGGGTTTATTGCGACGTTGGTAAGGATCAAAACGAAGAAGAATCAAAAAGGCGAAGTAGTTCATTCGACGATCGATTCGTCGAATCTGATAGAAATTTTTTCACGAGTCGCGAGAGAGGGGTATCTAGTGGAACGAGTCCTTGGAAGGATAGAAATGATATAGAATCGAGAGTTCGCTCCTCGAATGGACCGATGATAAAGAAAGTAAGTGAAGAAGGTACTCGGGACAAGAAATTGGAAAAGCATTCTCGAGCTTTTACATCAGGGAGAGTAGATGAGGATATAAAAGAAAATTTTCAAGAAACGAAGGATCGAAAGGATTTTTGGCGCGAGAGTAACAGACTCTTTGCTGCAAAATATCTTAAAGAGAATGGTAGAGGGAGAAGAACAGAGGGAGGGATCTTAGGAAAGGAGAATAATGGAAGCCTCGTCGAAGGTGCTTATGAGGAGGACGAAGGAGACGAGAGCGAAATCGAGCAAGAAGATTCGATTCGAACGAACGGTCGCCGAATCCCTGATAATCGAGATTTTGATTCGAAGGGAAGAATCGCTCGTGAACGAAATGGTACGACTATTGTAAGGATTCGTCCTAATATTTCGGAAAATTCGAGACGACGTCGACGTATGCAAGATTTTGGTTTGGAGCGACGCAAAAGGTGCGATGTGTCTTCACAGCGTTATGATAGCGATGAGGAAAGTGGAGAGGAGGGTGAAAAGGAGGATCAGAGGAAGGAGGAGGAGAAAGATAAGAAAAAGGTAATGCCGATTGTAAAGGACGATGAGGATGCTGACAATGAGCAACGATTGGATTCTTGGCGTGGAACTCGTAGAGATGGCTTAATACCAGGAATACCCCATGGATCTACTCCCTCGAGAAGACTTTGGAATTATCGCGAAGGGGTATGGCACTTTTCTGAGTCTATTGCGTTCGATCAGACATGTATGATACAGAAACGAGAAGCGATATTCATTAATCGTTGGAGAAGATAAAAATTGGCTTGTTAAAAAGGACAAATTTCTTTAGTGGATCTTGCATGGGATATCATTATTCGAATAATAATACGTGGGCTATCGGGATCGAACGAAAGTGGACCTAAAGTGTACCCAATGTCATATGGCGTTGAGAATCAAATTTTATCCGCGATCAAATTTTTAACCTTTCGTCTTTTATATATATATTACACAAATATATATATATATATATATATATATATATATAATATATATTATATCAGAGATTAATCAGTGAAATTATGAATGGACACACGTGTGTTGTGAGAATATAAAGAATATAAACGATATTGCATTAAATGACATAAAAGAAATATGTACGAAAATTTATAATTAAAATGATGAACACATGCGTATCAAAGATTTTAATTATTTTTCTTTTCTTTTTTTTTCAATCCCCCGTGAGATGGATATTCGTATTGTAGAGATTAGAATAATTATTTTGGCAAACAATCACACACAGATGTCTACAAAAGTCATAGGACCGACTATCGTTCGGTCTCGACACAGCATGCGGCTTTTCGTTCGTTGGCCATTGCGTCCTGCGAATGTCATTGAACGAGCCATAAGTGGAACAGCCACGTCACGTAAGAAACAACATCGCGGATAAGATCTCTCCTTAGTTGCTTTCGGCTTTAAAAGCGAACCCTTTCTATTATGGACGATCAACGAGGAGTTCTACGCTTCGTTAACGATGAGAGTTAATTATCACTGTAACGGTTAATACGACGCTTATCGTGCCATCTCAAGAGAGAGGTGAACTATCGATTTGACCCAATAGACGAGATTTCAAAGTTTTCGAGCGATCTTTCGATATATACATACATACCTACACATAATTTCACGCTTAATCTTTTTACAATTCAAAAGAAATTAAAACGTTTCCTTTTTTCTGCTGTATATACCATATATATATATATACCATGTAAAAACCAAGAGGAATAAATTGATAGAGAATATTTCTAATAATCGATGGAACTAATAATAATATTTAAAAATGATGACGAAGGCAATGACGAGGACGATGACGAGGACGATGACGAAGACGATGACGAAGACTAGATGTGGTCTTTTCGATCGTGACTCACTGTCAAAAGAAAAAGAAAGAAAAAAATTATGTTAATTAGGCGCAACCCAAATCACGTTTCGGTAGAGATCATTATTTAGGATCGCTATATATGCATATCCTAGAATAAAATGGAGACGCGAGATTCTTGCCTGGCATATTTTTGAATGTGTGTATTCGTCATATACGCGATATTTGGCTATATCGTCGACGACAAGTCGTTCCACGTGGGCGGACCGACCATATATGCTGCGCGGAAGGTTCTTGAACGCATCCAACGCGAGTTGCCTCGCCTCACTTAGCCTCACCGTACCGCACCTCATCTCACAGGATTCCTCTTTAGTCTTTATGTTAGATTTGCCACGAGACACACGATACCATATCGAACATCGTTCACTCTTTTTATATATTTCACAAAATTCATGAAAAAGAAATGGATTTTTATAGATACTTCGATTTAACAATAAAAATGATCGATTTAATTTCTTCAAAGTCATTGACACGTAATATGTGTACGTGTAAATTTCATCTATAGTTTGTTTTTAATACTTCAAACAATTAAATTATATTTTTATAATTTGAAAAAGAAAAAATTTTCCCTAAAAGAAATTAAATGAAAGTTTAAGAGTACCGATTAGGTTCATCGATCCTTTTAAATTCGATCAGGTCATAATGTTTTTAGTTAGTTTATCCATTATCGATATCCACGATAATAATTTCAATTACTTTTGAGAATATTAAAGTAAGCTAATAAATAAGAAAAACGTTAGGATACTTTGAAGTAGAACGCGTTCCGCTTTTACCGATTCGCACGAATGGACGATCGAATTGATCGACATCTGTACTATTATTTTATTCTGTACATATGTGCGTCGAAGAATTTAAACACGACTTCATTGCATTTTCCTTTTAGAGAAAAAGAAAAAAAAAAAGAGATAGAAAAAGATCACTGAGTATTTGCTTCGCGTAGACGGTGACGCGTAGGAAGAGAAGGGATTGAAAGCTTTCGGTCTTTTGCAATTGATTCGCAACGCCATTTTCTTCGAACGAATCGATGGAACGATACTTTCGCGATTTGTTTCGGTCTCATGCGGAATAAACCATAGTTTCTTCTTTATTTTTGATATTTTTCGTATTTATCGTAATTACGTAAAAAAAGATTATTGACGTATAATGAAAATAAATATTTAATATGGAAATTAGTGAATGAATCTTATTAGGATGTCACATGGAATAAGCAATAGTTTCTCTTATATTTAACAAGTTAGTCACATTTATCGAGATTACGTAAACAAAAATTATGTACAAAAAGTAAAAATAAATATTATGAATATTGGTTAATGAATCTTGTTAGGAGATTACATAGAATAAGCTGTAGTTTCTTCTATATTTAACAGGTTATACGCATTTGCCGAGATTACGTAAACAAAAATTATGTACGAAAAGTAAAGATAAATAATACGAAAATTGGAGTTTAATGAATATTGTTAGGTCATATGGAATAAGCTATAATTTTTTCTTCTATATTTAACAAGTTATTCACTATTTGTTGAGATTACGTAAACAAAAATTATGTACGAAAAGTAAAGATAAATAATACGAAAATTGGAGTTTAATGAATATTGTTAGGTCATATGGAATAAGCTATAATTTTTTCTTCTATATTTAACAAGTTATTCACTATTTGTTGAGATTACGTAAACAAAAATTATATATACAAAATAAAAATAAATAATATGAAAATTAACGAACGAATCTTATGTTAGGGTGTCCTGATCACGGACGTCGAGGAGGGACAGCCATGTTTACAGTGTGGAGACGTGTGTCCTGGATTTTCCCCACATATTTGGAGGTAAGTCTTCGCAGCATTATGATCCATCGAACGAAAACATCTAAGTATTTGGGTAATCTTTTTGTACTACCGCGAGAGAGAGAGAGAGAGAGAAAGAGGAGGGGAGAGAGAGAAAGAGGAGGGGAGAGAGAGAAAGAGAGAGAGAATAGGTATATCGAAAATTATCGTTAACGAATCTCCAAGGGACGTTAACGACGTTGGCTTACCTTTATTTGTTTTGGCAACGATCCATAGAATCGATCGAACCGTGTATTTCCCTGCTACTTAGGTATCGATCACTGAGAAAACAGCTGCTAATGCGTGCTGGCTAAAGAGTATCTAGTTTCTCTCGATTAAACTCATATCAGCAACGAGTTTCCTTGAAATTTGAATCGTTCGTATCGATCTCATCGATCATCCTTTCATTAATACTAATCAATTCGATTTCATATTACGTTAAGAGGGACAATTATCTTTTTCCTTTTTTTCGAAGAATTAATAATAAGATATTAACAGCGAGCGTGATGGTAAAATGAAAATGAAGTCAGATCATATTGGAATTGTTGCGTTGAAGGAAAAAATTATGTCCCATTATCCCAACTGCGTAACTTAACGGTGCAGGAATTACCAAGCATTGTAATTACCTTCCGTGACTTACAACCTGGCAATGCGGTAATAATGAATTAATTGCTATGTAAGGGAAATAGCGTGACAAGAAAGAAGAAAGCGAAAGAGATAATGGATTCTCTTAATCAAATTTTGTTGTTTCAGAGAAAAAAAAAATAAAAATAAAGATACACGATTTTATATTATCGGGATATAATAATATTAGAAATTCGTTGCAAGGAAAATTTTGGCAAATCGATTTAGCTTCAATGATTGACAATCGTTTTGTTAGATGGATACCATCGTTGATCTAATATTATCTAACAGATCGTAAACGTCTTAGAGATTGCTTTAGAGTTGAAGATTTATAACGATTGCTTGCTGTTCTCTCTGTCTTCGTCTCTCTCTCTCTCTCTTTCTCCTCCTCTCTCTCTCTCTTTCTGTTTCTCCTTCTCTTTCCTTCTCTCTCCTCTCTCTCTCTCTCCCTCTCTCTCTCTCTCTCTCTTTCTCTTTCTCTCTCTGTAGTTCGAAGTAAAAATAAATCGTTGACATTCAAAGACAAGTTATGAATGTCGTCGGTAAGGTATTACATCTTTCTCATACTAATTTTGTATGATAGAAAAAGTTCTAAACGAGGTTCCTGTTCTATAGTAGATAAAAAATGATTTATCAAGATTAATAATCTTGAAAGATTGTATTTTTATGAATTCTTTTTTGTTGAATCGTTTAGAAAAAACGTATTAACAAGTTTAGAATGATAGAGAAAGGCGTGTATCTCTGTCAATGTTGCGTTGGAAACATTTTGCGTTACAAGGATGTCGTCGAGCGTAATCGACGATGCCCACGCTGTGTGCCGAGATGAGTATTGATAGTTTATGTGATAAATAGTAACGGCTGTGACGGCTTCGACCAGTCCTACATTGTTTCTTCATCATCTGAAGTACAATAAGTAGTCGACCATTATTCGTCGAATTGATTTAATCCTCTATAACGTCATGTAACTTTGAAATTATACACTTTTATATTTTTATTTTATAAGTTTGATTTGTCTCAATGAGTAGAAAATATTAATTGTATTCATATCCGAAATTTTTCATATTTTTGAAGTATATTTTATACAATTAGTATAATTATATAGTATTAGTTGTAATACTATTTATACTGGTATAATTATTGTATATAATGTACTTATATATTGGGTTGGCAACTATGTGATTGCGGATTTTGTCGTTTCCTTCTTATTTGAAATCCGGCAATCACTTAGTTGCCAACCCAATACTTATACTAATATAATAATATTCTAGTATTACTTATACTATATGTAATAGAACAAGTATAATTATAAATATATATATATATATATATATATATATATATAATTTTGTTATAAACACAAAACAAAATTGGGTTATAGAGGATTAATAGAAAAAATTGATAGCAAAAATCAACTTCATTAATTTTGTCATTTTCGTCATAATAAATAGATCGACCTCGATTCCTTTTATTTGTCTTTCCGTTGGTCGTTCGTCATAGAGAAGTCAATTTTAAAAGCATACTTCTACCTACTGCCTATTTTCGTTTGCCCGATAGCATTCAAAGGACTCCACCTTAGATCATTGGCTTAGTTTATTTCGAACTCTTCGTTTGTCTAACGCAGTAGGGGACCAACTATAAACTATGAGGAGATCGTGACACGATTGTTTCTAGCTTTTCCAAAGTCACTTTCATAAATCCAAGCCTTTCACCACTTGAAAATCATAAACTCGTTTCTATATAGCACCATACATATAACATATTTCATGTTATTTCTTAATCAACGAAATTATATATTATACATTTAATTGGACGATTGGGGAATATACACATTCGTTGTGCTAAAGAAATAATCTTAGAAGGTAAAGAAAGAAAAAAGAAATAGAAAAAAGAAGAAAGAGAAGAAAAAAGATAGAAGTTACGTAGGTACATACATTCTCATGCTTGTTGATAGCGGGCATCGATAAGGAAACTCGCATCATCGATTCGCTCCTTTCACGGCACGTGAAAGTGAATCCACCGATTACTTGAGATACGAAGCGAGACGTAAACTCCAGTGTAAATGTTTCGAGTATCGTATCGAAACGTTAAATGCTTTAGCTTTCGAATGTTTATGGTCCAACGAGAAACACATTGCTAAGGATTACGTGTAAATAACATTCTTTTTTCCTTTTTTCTTTTCTTTTTCCTTTTTTTATTTTTTTAAGAAGGACCTAATCGTAAAAAGAAGAAAAAGAGAAAGAAGAAGAAGAAGAAGAAAATGAAGAAGAAAGAGAAAAATTGTTGAGGAGAATAGAAAAGAGAAGGATCGTTCGATCATATAAATTCAGATTGCAAAGTCTTATTGAAACGTCCATAAGTGTACGTCCATAACGTAAGACGTATGTAAATGATTTTACAATGTCCGTTCCAACCATAGATGCATACTTTACTACACCTATTATTCCTTTTGATAACATACTTTACTTCGTTGAGTGTAAAACCAAGCCTCTTAGTTTGACTTTGTTCTATGAAACGAAAGCAAATTGTTATAATAGATCGATTTCATTCTCGGCTGAACTTCTGAGAATACGTTTCCGCATTTCCGTTGATCGTCTGGCAAGCTGGAACTATTTTTGAAATGTTGTTCGTCTTTCTCGAAGAGCAACCTAGTTTCGGTTATAGTGAATCATTTTACTCGGCCGACTCTTCTCACGCGTGCACGTGTTGCTTTGACGATGTACAAGTTGGTTATGAAGATGCAGCAAGGCCAGACTTTGTTCTTTCTCTTTTTTCTTTCTCTCTCTTTCTCTCTTTCTCTCTCTCTATTTCTCTTGTTATCATTGTAAAAATATTTACTATTTTAATCGATTTACTAATCCATTATCTTTGAAAGATAAAGAAATCACTGCTTTATTTATATGAATGAAAATCGTTCATAGAAATCAATTTTTATTTCGCTGTCAATTTCAAAAAACATGATCAATGATAATTTTGTTAATAATGTGAATGTCAAGAGATCGAGATTATATTTTTATCGAATTAGGTAGAAATTTTATTTTTGTAAAATCCTTTATAGGTTCGTTCATAAACCCATATGAACTTTAAGTATATATATACGTATATGTATGTGTTTGTATGCATGCATGTACGTATGTACATATGTATGTTCTCTGATATTCATGGGTACGAACAACAAAGCAACTTTTCCATTGTCTCTCGAGGGCGGTCGTCGTGCGATAATTGCTCGTGGACATTATTACGCTACATATAACGTTGTGCTGTGCAGGTGTTCAAATACGGTGAGTCTCGGATACCGTCGTTCTCACCCACGCATTTACGAGTGAGATCACCTTTATACTTTAGACTTCATGCTGCGACGAAGGTGTTATGGCGCGAGAGTCTTTCCTGTCCTTCCAAGAAAAATGTAATATATTAATGTAGGATTTATAGAATTCGTAGGATTCATCGTGGAGATCCGACGATATTGAAAAAAAAGAAAAGAAAAAGAATATACAATATTTCCAAGAAATGATATTTAATAATCGATTAAAAATCAAATGGAGAATATCAAGAATAAAGATAAAGATCATGATAAAAGAAGTTTAACGACTGATATCTGCAACCTTTAAAGACTCATTCTTCATGTGCTACATTTTATCTATCATTAAGTTCTGCTGTTATCAGCGAACCGTTGCTTTATCATATTTGCAACTATAATCTTGTAAAATCTACTATGATCCTGTAAAATTTATTCATTAATGAAAATAGAAGTCGAGAAGGATGTAACTGTGATAAAAGAGAGTGAGAGAGAGAGAGAGAGGGAGAGAAAAGAATGAAAAAAAGTCGTCCATTCAAAAGATAAATATTCGTGTCTTAGAGTTTAGATAAAATATTAATTGAATTAGGATGTTCTTTTTTTTTCGAACATAATGGGCGTGGTACATTAAAACGAATAATTCTCGCAACGGGTCGAAACAACTCATAAGGGTTTGTAATTTGAGTTTAACAATGAAAGGGTAGCCGTTGACATTTCTAGTAAATATCGTGCTTGCCCTATTAACACATGGGTGGGCGGGCATGCTTGGGCTAAGTCGTTTAGCGTAGAAGCCGTAAGGTATTTGGCAAACAAATCGAAACTTGAGAGACCTTTTCAAGGATTCCAAATGATATTTTTATATCTTACTCTACTTTTAGAAACTCGATGTTCCTTTACTTTTTCAAATAGAAAAAGAAATTTCATGTTAAATGTTAAAAGGAAAACGTGATATTTTATTTATTTATCGTAACTGTTTTCCTTTTTGTCATAGTAGTTCGTCGTTCTAGATAAGAAAATACTTTCTTCGAAGAAGAGAATTTCTTTATATTTCATCAGAGAGCATTAACATTTCGTGGATGATATTTTTGAAGATAGTTTCTCGACTCGTATGCGTTTGGCACGATTCCTGGTCAATTTCTTTTTGTTGATTCGTCGCGAATGCTTTTCTGACACATATCTCGTGAGTGCGTGCGTGCGTACGCACGCGAGTATTTATTTACGATGAGGGAAAATTCATTCCGTGCGAAAAAAATGGGACATATTTTGAAAGTCTCTGAATTAAGGAGATGCCCGTGACAACGAATTATTCGAGTAACGAATATTTCTTTAGATAACTCTCGAATACCTTTTATCCTTACGAAATAATTGTTGATCATTAAAGATCAAGATCAGTTGAAAGGGAGAAAAAGAGAGAGAGAGAGAAAGAGAGAGAAAGAGAGAGAGAGAGAGAGAGAGAGAGAGAGAGAGAGAGACGGATGCCGCATATAGTTCAGTATATCCCACAACAGTAGAGCTTTGTGAGATATTAAGGCTGTTACAAAAACAGAAATTGCATTTAAAAAAAATTGCATAATTAAGATTGTTATTTTTTGTTTTGTTATATTAATAACTTATTAATTCGAAGGCAGTGTATGTCTCACGGAAAATGTTTTTTTTTTTATTTTATTTTCCTGTATCCTTAAATCTGAGAATTGGATTAAAAAAGAAGCTTTAAAAAATCCTTTCTTGTTTCAAAATATTTTGTTTTGTGGTATATTTTATTTTCCCCACGTAGTTGTAAATTAAATGGATAATAACTAATAAATACCAAGAAGTACAATTAATAAGAATCTTATTTTTCGATATTTTCTCTCGTAGTTCTCCATCTTGTACTGAATTATTTATTTTAGTATCAACGATACTATATTTTTTGTAAGTACATATATACAAACATATATAATTATTTACATTTTTGTCCAAAGAAAAGAAACGAAAAGAAACATACAATTCGTGTTTTCTCGCTCACATAATCACAAGAATGTCGTGTGTGGGTAAAGGAAATGCGTGTTGTCAATGGAATTCTAAGAATTCTTCTTCACTAACGAACTGTCTTAACACTTACGATAACATATGTGAATTCCCTGTTAAATTCGAATATAAATTATTATAGAATAAATTATTAAATATAATTTAGTGGACAAAAGTGTAGATATAAATTAAATTAAATGAGATCATTGAGAATCCGATGTTTCGGTTGGCGTTGATTCGATCAGCTGACATTGACAGCGCCTTCTTAGACAGTAAGCGAACGAATGGACACAGTGAGCGAGCTTACTCAGAAAAGTTCGAGCCGTCTATCCGATGATTTCAAGTTGCTGCTACTCTTCTACTTCTTCTTCTTCTTCAGTATATTCCAGTGCGCTAGTGAGTTAAACGTGATTTTTTTCCTCCTGGACGTATGATGAGTGAGCGTGTGTGAACGGACGTGTGAAGGAGAAAGAAAATAAGAAAGGAAGAAAAGAAAGAGTGAGAGAGACAGAGATATCAGAAAGAGAGAAAGAGAGAGAGAGAGAGAGAGAGAGAGAAAGAAACAAAGAGAGAGAGAGAGAGAGAGAGAGAAAGAGACAGAAAGAGAGAAAGAAACGTCCGTCCTGCGCGTTGCGTGGTTACATGCTCGACGTCTCTTCTTCTATCGTTTCGTTCGAAGCGCGTGTGCTAAATTTAGAGTATGATCGACCGGTCGTTCGCGCTATCGGGACAAATAGCCCGCCGATAAAAGTCATTCGCACGGAGAGAAGTTGGACTCGTTGCTTCGACAACGTCCTTTCGGCGATTTCTTTTTTTTTTTTTGTTTTTTTTTTTCTTTTTTTTATTTATTTATTCGAATCTATTATTATTATTATTATTATTATTATTAATATTTTGATTATTATTGTTATTCTATTTTTTTAATATTTTTAGTGAATGTGTTTTACGATAAATTTTTACTTTTTGCAATTGACAAATTAAATATTATATTTGCGATTCGAAGTCTACGTTTTACGAATCACCGGACGCAACCTTAGAATGATCAGATAACGTTTTTATTTCTTTTTTCTTTTTTGTTTCTTTTTTTTTTCCTCGAGTTTAGTTTCGTGTCCCTGACAACTTGTGAGTGTTAGACTCCGCGTGTATTCGTCGTTTGTACGTGCGTGAATGTTTTTTGCGTTACCACGTGCCGAGCACGTGTTTGCGTGCACGCGAAATCTTCAATTTCCACGGCAAGATGGGCAGCGGCGAATGGAAAAATTCCAACTACTCGAGCAGCAACGTCTTCGAAAACGAGGAACGTAAAGAAGAAGATCTTGCTTACTTTGCTACACGGTGAGTCGAAGTCTCGTGTTCACTTGCGAGAATATGTTGTGTCACGTGTTAAATCAAAGAAATTTATGTGAAGTCCTAGAGAGAGAGAGAGAGAGAGAGAGAGAGAGAGAGAGAGAGAGAGAGAGAGAGAGAGAGAGAGAGAGAGAGAGAGAGAAAGAGAGTGAGAGAGAGAGAATCATCATGCCGTGGAAACAACATTATTTATTTTTCTCAATTATATAGGATGACGATAAATTTATTGACACTTTTCGTACGTGTATAAAATTTATCGTTGTTTATCTGAAATTGTTCTATTAACATCTTATTAATGATAAATAATTTATACAAAATAAATTTAATTTGAGAAAATAAAATGTAACGAGTGTAGTAAGTACGTTATATATAAAATCAGCAATAAAGATAATAACTTGATGTTATAATCTCGTAGCTAAGCTCAATAACTCGGTTAGTAGTTTCAACTCAACTAAGGATTCCTCATGTCCGGGAAACCCGTTGCTTATTCAATCTTCTCTTCTTCGTGGTTACATTCGTGTTCTACATACATAAGATTGAAAGAATGCTTCTATAATCGATTTTTGTCAACTGCCCAACGGTGTCATTGTTCGATCGTCTTGATCACCAAGATCCAAAGCCGATTAGGCCATCCGATTTCTCGAAACCATAAAGCTTAAGCCAGAGTTACACAAAAAAGAAAAAAAAATAAATAAAAAGAAAAGCAAAAAAAATACGAACGTAAGGAAAAGATTGTGTCAGGGACGTAAGTAGCGCGTCGAGTTAAAATTCCATGTTGACTACGTCACTTTGAAATATAATAGCTCGTATTTTGACGAAAACGCATTAAACATTAAATCTCGAGACTGACTTTCAGCCTTTCGTAATACATATGATGACTACGCAATGATTGTACTCAACGAATAGTATATGTAATATATTGGTATAACTTGTGCTATAACACTATATTGAATATATGTTGTATACATATATTCAATATACTGTTGAATATATATATATATATATATATATATATATATATATATATATATATATACACATAATATGTATGCTTTTTAGGACGTTCCTTTTACAACACAATACAAACTGACCGTCCGATCGTGACAGCTCACTGAGTTTCAAGATAACGAGGTTACTTCCGATAACTCTTATCGACGGAGTTTTCAGCGAAGCTGTACTCTTTCAGAAACGTTCAGTTATTCGGTCTAGATCGTACGATTCTCCGTCGAGAGATTCAGCACGTGGCTTCTCTTCAGAAACGAAAATATAACAATTTGTATTTATAAAGTTAAACTTTATAAATACAAACTTATAAAGGTTAAAAAAACAAACTTATAAAGGTTAAAAAAAAAGTTAAAAAATGAGTCAAGCCTTTTAATGTAAAAATTAAGAAAAAAGTAGGTATATCGAAAAATAAGTGAATATAGAATGATCGAGATGTTTAGCGATGTTTAGATAGAAAGATATAAATCATTGTGAAGTGTTCGAAATGTGAATCGTCGCGTGGGATCTATCTTATATAGATATATAACTTTCACTGTTACGAATTATTTCGATTGAAATAGAGGGTCAAAGTCCGATTCAATGCCGAGCAAGACAAGGCTTTCTTTGAGATAATCTGTCGGAAAGTTATATCGTACGCGGCTTTATATCTGTTTAGACGCGTACATGCGTTTTATATTCGTAAGAACATTTAATCTCGTAACATTGTTAACATTTTCATCGAACTTGTCCGTTTTAATTTATGAATTTACGAACTTATAAGAAAAATTATTTATTTTATTTCGAACGAATCCGATAGACCAATAAATTTGAAAATTGTTTATATTTATTAGACTTTTATTATCGTCGATAAGTAAACAGATATATATCTGCGATGAATAAGAGGAGTCGATTAATTCGATCGTGGTGAGTCATTAATCGTATGATCAAAGACAATTTGCGTCATTTCGATCGTGTTTGTTGATAAAAA